AAGCCTAGTAGAATCAATTGCTAGACACCTATAGGAGCAGGAATAGAACAAAACATAAGTTAGACTAGGAACCCTAAAGGCACTAATCAAATTTAGTTAATATAACTACTAGCTCTATAAGGACCTAAACAGGGCCGAGGCAAGCCTAGCTATCCAAATCAGATCTAAACATATTAGACTCAGATCTTACCTATTTAGAAGAAACGTCCTAGGAATTGAAAGCAGAGCTTACTAATATAGCTACCAATCTTAGAACCCTAAGTATATGCTACTAGTCTACCCTTAATAGTTAGAAGGCAGAAGTAATTAGAGACTAAAAGCAATAGAAAGGGAATACGACAAGCTAATCTAGAGCAAAGAAGACCTAAAGAGGATAGTAAAGTAGATTATTAAACAGGGATTTGTATAACAATTCGCACTAGCAAGGGAAACTAAGGAGTAGATAAGAAGGAGGGAAGAAGAGGGGGAAAGAAGGGCAGGGTAGTAGGCAAAGTAGTTAGAGGGTAACAACTATAATACTAGTATACCCTAGAGGAAGGAAAATAAGAAAACGAGGAAGATTAGCACTTATAAATAGGACAGGAGGGAGGTTTTTACCAACTAAGTTAGTTTCCTACCTAAAACAATACATAGAAACAGACCTGTATAGGCCGAAAGGCACTACAATAGGCAAATGAAATATCTATCTATCTATCTATCTATATACTAAGGATCGATTAATAGTAACCGTTTCTTTACCTAGATTACTAAGTAGGTGCTTCTATGCCTCGAAGAAGGTCCGCTAATAATCTTTGTAATAGACAATACTAGTATTTACTATAGATTAAGGATTAAGCAAGCGATTCTCGATACTAGACACCGACTCGAGTACTTACCGCCGTATTCGCCGGATTTGAATCCTATCGAAGGAAGCTTTAATCTGCTAAAGAAGACTATTAAAAGACACAGGGACTAGCTACCGAAGTTCTTTAGCTTTTAGGATTACTTACTATATTGTCTATACCTGTATAGAGGCCGCCGAGCGCGTACGCTATTCGCTAATACTAGATACAACGTCGAAGGGGTAGATTTGCTATACGACGCTACCTAATTCGAGTCGACGGCTAGTAACGCTTAAAATATAATAGCGCTCGACCTAGAGGAGTTACAATAGATATAGTAGGCTTAGAATAACGAGCCGTCGATGCTTAACGATATAGAAGCGCTATGTGCGTTATATAAAGAAGATAGCGAGGGTAAGGAGGAAGAAGAGGTCGATTTTAACGACTTCGAGTAATGTAACTGGCTAGGTATTGCTAGCGTACGGCAAGCGCCGCACGGCAGAGATGTAAAGAGTGTATACGAACGCTAGCCTTGCCTATTGCTTGTTTTATACTATAACTAGCGTGTTATATTAATTAATTGTGTATAGGCTAAATAAGTGCTATTACCGCAAGAATCTCCCGCTTATTACAAGTTTATATATGTTGTAGTTATGCAAAGATTAGTATAGGAAGGAAGCTAGAATTCTTAAAAGTTCTCCCCTTCTTTAGTAATAGTAGCTTCCGCCGCTATAACCTTATCCTGTTTCTTCCTTATAAACTCGATAATAGCCTTCTTTAGTTTTAATCGCATACTATCTACTTTACTAAGTGCCGCCGGCTAGTCGTCCTTTGTAAGATTGTAGATAGTCTCTAGCGTCTAGCCGGAGCCGACGAAATAGGCAATATAAGGCCGTAAATAGTCGTAATCCTAGAAGTCGCGCTATAAGGCAACCTAGTCGAAGAATTTTCTACTATTAGCTTCTCGCACTAAACGATATTGCGCGGCAATATAACTTTACTACGTAGTCTAGTCTTAACTAGCGCTCGACTAGGAGTCCGAGAAGGCGTACTTAGAATAATACCGCTACCTTGCAATTTGTTATCGATAATGCGGCCGAGATCTTTACTAAAATTGTTATAGATAATCGGCTAAATTCTACTAATACCTCTACTACCTCTAATAGCCGGTTTACGAGGCGAGTCGGTCTCGCTACTATAGCGGCGATCTCTTATCTTCCGGATAGCCGCCTTCTATAGCTTACTCTCGACCTTCCTCTTAATTAGCTTGATTTCTAACCTTACTAGCAACCTATTTTCGAGAGCGCTAGTCTACTCGTCTACCTTCTATTTACTAGAAGCGATCGCTTTACATCTTTCGATTATAGCCGCCTCGAAGAATAGAAAGTAGTTCTTACTATAGTCCTTTAACTTCCGGTTACGCTAGCACGTATGCTTACCTACCTTTAAGAAGTTGCTATAGTCCTTAGTACTATATAGAAAGTTACGGATAATCTAATAGTCGTACCGCTTCTAAGTCTCGAGTTTAGCTATTACAACGCCGGCGTTAGCAAGCTAAATTAAGGTTAGATTAGAAGCCGGTTTAGCCGGTAGCTTCTTGCTACTACCTAAAGCTCTAGCTGCTACTATTGCGTTAGGTTTAGTTAAGAAGTCTATATTAATAAAGACGTTCTTCCGCGAGGCAAGGATAAGGCCTTTAGCAACTTCGAGAGCGTTATTATAGACCTTATTACTATTAATCTTATTATCGCTAGCTAGGTACTAATCGCTCGTAAAAGCCGACTTCTAACCGTCCGCTCTAGCTTAGATAACAATACGATTAATTAGCACTATACTATATAACTTTACTATCTTCGCCGCCTACGTATATCTATTCTAATTCTCCTCTTTCTTCGCTAATAAGAACTTTACTAGTTTATACGCTATTGTCTACGCCGCGCCTCTCTTCGTTATATTAAAGAGCGTCTACTATCCTTTATAATAGAAGGTCTTATCTAAGAAAGAGCTAGGTTAAGTTATTAGAGCGTTACTAGTAGCGAGTATAGTAACGCTACTAGTAGCGGCTTCCGCCTCCTACGTAGCGTTAAAAGAGGAGGAAATAGAAGCTTTAGTAGAAGAAGCTATATCTATATTAGGCGGTAACTCCTCTACTAGCGCTATAGCGGTCTCCTTACTAGCGATTAGGTTAGGCTCTTCGACGGTAGTCGCTTTACTATTCTTACTAGTAGTTAACCTACTCCTAGTGCTACCTTTTACCTACTAAGTCGTATTAATAGCTCGTCTAATTAGCGGTAGACTTATAGACTTCTCGAGAGTCTAGTTTACCTTAGTAGCTTAGTCTAATCGCACTAGTAGCTTGCTAGTAGTCGTATATATTAGTCTTAGCGCTATTATTGCGATTATAGTAGTTAGAAGTAGTTAGAAAGTAGTTAGAAGTAGTTAGAAACGCGTACGAGGCTCGAATAACGATTGTTCTCTATCTATAGTAGTTTAATAGGAAGCAATAGGCGATTCTATATACAAAACACCCCTATTCTTCCCCTAGCTAGTAGCTCGAGAGAGGATGCGGCTCTGCGGACCGGACTGACAAGTTCCCCGGAGCACATAGTACGGTCCGTGGCGTTCCGCTCTAGGCTAGCTGCTCCCACCAGACTTCCGGCCCGCCGCTCCGTTCCTGCGCGGGACGGACAGACGACCCACAGCCAGGAGCCATTTGTCCTCCATACAATTCAGTGGCCCCCATCCCATCTCTTGAAAAGTTCCTCGTAAGTCGCGTGCGCCTGACATACAGCCCTGACAGCGTTACGCTGCATCGACAGATCCGTCTCGACGCTTGTGCAGCAGTGTTACGTACGCGTAAAGCGTGCTTTCGATCTCTGGTTGGGCGAGAGAAACACTGATCGGCATTGATCCCAGAGACACTCCGCAATCATTGCAGCCTTGTGTAACTACCTACCCCTCTGGAGAGGACTTGCCTGCCGACTAAATAGTGTAACATACTGCACGATGCCGTGGATGATCACGGGTACAGTACAGCTACGACGCTGCGGCTGCGCTGCTCACTCGCGTACAGCGGCAACCCACATCGGAGTGAAAGCGCTAAATTCCCTAATCCTGGACTTCATGGTTCGTAACAAATCAGAAATCTGGGGTGTCCTGTGCTTCATGCACGTATACATGAGCTTGTGGCCTCATGGAGCTGACACGAGCCCGTGAAGGTCGATCACAATCGACAACTCTGCCACTCAGCGCTAAGACGACAATTCCAGCATCATTGGGCGGTGTGATGGACCTGTACTTTTTCACGTCGGCATTTGCAGAGAATTGCTGCCCATCACAACTGCTTGAAGAGGAAGTGACACGGACGTAGTGCTGCAGACTTCTTCTTCACGGACTTGCTCGCTTTTAACGCGAAAGCAAACATCTGGCACTTCATCAGGAGCAGCGACAGCCTGCAGGACTTGGTCTGCATCGTCGTTCACCCACTGCACTCGTCCCGATGTCTGGACGGAAACAATCGATACCTCTCTCCGCTGCTGTGGAGATCATCATGCATCTACTACAGGATGTGAGCTTGCCGCCACACTCGACTCGAGACGACTGTCATCAGTGTGTTACGAGTCCAGCTGGTTTGGAGTGTATACAGCTCCAATCGCAGATGACGCATCCCTAGGTAGTTCTAGGTTTGACCTCGGGAAGAAAGCGAAAACTTGATTCGCAGCCCTCTGGCCACGCTTGCACCTCTTCCAATCTGCCTTCTTCCTCCGGCACATCATCTCGATCGCCATCTTTACGGCTGCAGGCTCCTTCGCTTGGAATTAAGTTAAGGCCATCGCCGACGTACTCCCGCACACAAAGGGAGGGACGTGCCGAAAGTCCGAAAACTCCGAGCCAAAAGCTTATGCAGTTGCTCACTATTTCCACCACTGTCATCTGCTGCACACCACCATCTGCTCTTCACGGAATGTGCCGCGCCGAGCAGAGTTCAAGCCTTCGCAAGAGACAGGAAACCATGCCCAGACAGCTCGACTGAGGCCCTGTCTACTTGCCACCGTTTATCGCATAATCGTTTCGATTATGCGTATGCCATAATCGTCTCTTGTAGAAGCCGCTTTATAATCGTTTATTATTAGACGGCAACGTGTTCAAATTGGACCTCCGCGGCGGCTGCCGCTATAACCTTCCTTCTCTTTCTACCTTAGGCCTGTATATTAAAGCTTAAAGCGCATATAGCTGCAGTAGTAGATACAATAGTCGCTATAGGGCTCGAAGCGGTATAGGAAGCGGTATAGGATCGTAGAGCGGTATAGAAGGAGATCGAGTACTCGTTCGAAGGGCGGTTTCGTAGGTAAAACCTAGCAATTTAAATCAGTTAGTCTCTTATATTACCGCTATTCGAATCCTCGCAACTATAGTGTCTTAATCTACTAATTCTACTAATTCGCAGCTAAAGACGCTAGCGGCTCGTAAGCGTAGTGCGATAGCGACACTATTACTAGTTACCTCTAATAAAAACAAGTAGGCGCGGACGGTAGAGCGCTAGTCGACTAAACAGACTAAATTCTTCCTCGAGCAGCTAATAGAATTAATAAAGGTTAGCTAGTAGGCGGAGTCTAATAACTTTAAGATCGGTAACCTTCGTAACCTCGCGGAGGTAATAAATAAGAAGTATAGCACTAAGCGGACCGATAATAACCTAAAGAATAAGTAGATAGCTATTAAGCGAGATTAGGGTATATAGGTTGCTTACTTAAAGTATATTAGTAGCTAGAATAGTATACTACTAACTGCTAAGTCGGACGTTAAAGATGCCTATTTCGAGGAGTATACGAAGTGTACTCTATTCCGTAACGAATTGCCTAAATACTATAAGTTAATAGAGGAGTTAATCGGTTAAGATATAGCGGTTAGCGACTACGTAGGCTCTATAGAAGCACTAGCGGATAGTAGCGCGAATAAGTCGGATAGTAAGGAAGAGGAAGAAGATATAGTAGAAGGTATAGAAGCTACTGCCTCGAAGCCGTTTACTAAGGAACAGTTAATAGTACTACGTACAGCTAAGGCATAAGAGAAACATACTAAGAAGATGCAGAAGGAGGCTAATCGTGTCTATAAGAAGCAAGACGAGGCTTCTAAAGGCAATACTCTTATCGCGAAGTCTATCTAGAAGGCCTTCGAGCTATTAGTATTAATAGTAGCGGAGAGTGTAAAGGATGCTAAGGAAGAACGTGCCCTTGCGAGGAAACAGGCCGACTAAGCCGCTACTATTGCTAAAGAAGCCGCCGCTGTTGCTAAAGCCGGTTCTACTATTAAGATCGTAACGGCGCGTCTTCTAGACCCTAATATATAGGCAGGAAAGGATTTGTCGATAGCGTATAGGATATTGTTAGTAAGGGAGTATACGAAGAAGGATGCTAATTATAACTACGTAGAGGTTACGTTAAGCCTAAACGACGAGCAATTCGAGGAGTACTTCTACGCGGTACTAATAGACCTACGTACTAATAATCGTTAGAATAGGTACCTACAGCAGATAGATAGATACATACAGTATAGCTATTAGCAATAGGTCGGTGTTATAGTATAGGTTAGAAAGTAGGGATTGTATTAAAAAGTATATAGCGAATATAGGCCTATTTAATACTAGAGTTCGGGTAGTTAGGAATATTTTTCGTTGTAAATGCACGCTAGTGTCTATACTATTGATTTGTATAAAGGTGTTGTTAGTTTTTACTAGCAAAAAGTGATTACGTGCGAGGCCTGTTATATACGTCGAAAGGATATCCTAACGACTCGAACTTTAACTTTACTTCGAAACGCTAAGAACCGACGGTTTTAACCTACGAGAATTTCGATAGGAGGACGAGGCGGGCTCCGAGAGACAGCAATAGTATTAGAATATGTCTACAAAAACACAAAATCGACTTCCTTACTAAATCCCTTACTAAAAGCATTATCCGCTATTCGCCTATATATTTACCTATTACCTACCCTTCTCTGCTATATACGGCGCTATACTCCGACTAGCACTTCTTGCTTCTACGCCCTTATATCGAGCCCTCTAGCCGTTTGCTATCCTATATACTTAGCAAACATCTACCGCGCTATCCGATTACGATAATCTGTATAAGTCTCGTCGTTATTATCGCTAGCATGCCTCCTATTGTCTGCGTAGACTTTAGCTATATAGTCCGCCTCTCTCGCGGCTTCTAATTTAGTATTAGTTAGCACTAGTTATAGCTCCTTAGATAGAGGTTAACGGCCGTCCGATAAAATAAAGTTATAGATAACAGCATAGGCGATAATAAAGCGGTTCTGCTATAGTATAGACTACGTACTTAGACCTTCCTTAATAATCTTAAACCGGCGATTTATTATACTAAACACCCTCTCGATACAGTTACGGAGCTAAGTATGCTGTAGGTTAAATAACTCCTTATAATCTATAGGCCTAGCTTCCGCGTTACCTTATTCTCGGAGGTAGTAACGAGTCTTCTAATATAGTACTAGAAGGCGAGGATCTTTAAAGGAATAACTACCGTCGGCAAGATAGAAGTATCTATCTAGTACGTCGAAGCCTAAGTTATAGGCCTTCCTTAATATAGTGCTATCTGTCGCTAACCCCTCGTAACTAGGTATAATAAATAGGAAGCGCAGTATCGAGTTATACGCAGCTATTACATTCGTAGCAATAAAGCCCTTCCGACAACGGTATAGATTTTAGTTAATCTTCTTCGGATTAGCAATTAACAACGTACCGTCGATCGTACTAAGAACACCCTAGAAATACGGCTAGAATTTGCTACTATCTTTACCTTCGGACTAGGCTAGTTTCTAGCGCTTGTCTAGCAACTAGATCTACCGCTTTGCAATACGGCAAAGACTCTTCGATACCTCTAGAATTATACGACTAGGTATGCCCTTCGCTACGCTAAACTCGCTAGCTAATTCTAAGCAGGTATTGTTATACGCTATATAGACGAGAAATATAATAACTCGTGCTTCTACTAAATACCGCTTATTCTTTAAACTACCGTGTTCCTTTAGCTTATTAACTAACGCCTTTAATACTAGTTGCCGTAGGCGCGTCCGCTCGAGGCAATAGCGCGCTAGACTATACAATATCTTAAACACCTCCTTCTTAAACCTTCTACGCTCTATCTAAGTCGATATACGCCCTATCGGTCGATAAACGTTGCGCCTTCGAAATCGCGGTAGTTCTTCGAGAAAGAACAGCGGCACTACTAAGAGCGCGCTTACTATCGTAACTACTATTAATAACTAATCTATCGTCGCTCTACCCTCCGCGCGCGCTAAATATACCTCGTATATCGCTATACTATCGAATTCTATACTATAAAGAGGTAGATATAGCGGCAGCTAGCCGGAAGTCTACTTAGCGTACGGATAGGTATAAAAAGTCCTCTAGAGCCGCTTACGCCGATCTTACTATATATAGCATAATTATAGCGAGGTACCGAGCATAGCGAAGAAGCGATAATGTTATAAACGATTACAATAAGACGGTAACGATTAAAGGCGGCTCTATAATCGTTGTTGCAATCTATAGTAGATAATCGCTATAAACGGTAGCAAGTAGATAGGGCCTAATAAATGCTAAACCGCTCCTTAGAGAATCTTCGATCTTTATACGCTCGCTTTATAGCTCGGCGTAAGGGAATTGCATCGGCCGTTAAAAATCTTATAGGGAATCGGATGCCTACTTAATCGCACCTATATATTCGACTAATAATAAGAATAATAGCGTGTGTGTTAACGCTTTATATCTAGGAAACTTATTTAGCTACGGACTACGGAGTCTAACTCTACTAAGGCAAACAACTACGGGGTTTAGTAAGTAGAATAAGCAACTTCTTACGCACAATGTGTGCATATTATATTATATAATTCTACTTGCTATGTCCTATATATGTAAAGGAGCCTTTTGCAAAAACTAAAAAAAAAGACTAAGAAACTAAATAAGGAATATCGAACGGCGTCGCTTTCGATATAAAAAAAAACCCCCCCTTTTCGCTTCCTTCCTCCGATTCTACGGGTTAGTCTAATATATATATATATCCTAATCTAAACGCCGCTTCCCTTCGATAATAATCGTACCTTTATATACAGCTTCTAAACCTAAGTCTATTATATATAGATAAAGCTCTCTTTTTCTTTTACGAAAAGCTTCTACTACCTCCGCTAAGATTAGATTAGATACTAGGAGGTTAGGTAGAGGAGGAAGTATAGATTTTAAATATATTATACGGAATCCGAGGTCGGTTATGTCTATACTAACTAGTATTAGGGATAAGAAAGGGTTGCGAACGTTTAAGAGATTGTAAGGATAGGAGGACGAGGGGAGGGATCTAAGATCTTACGTTATTAAAGGTAAGGTTTTTCGGGATAGGTTAGGTTGGTTTTAGGTGGATTTGTCGTAGAATGAGGAGGGGATAGGATGGGATAGGGGGTTATATATGTCTGTTCTGTTCTATAGACATAAGAGAAAATGTCAAGATTTTTCTAGAGCTATGAGATGTTAAGACGGGAAGCCTTATCTCTATCATCTATCCCTTCCTTCCTTCCCTCATCTCCTCCTCTCCTCCTCCCCACAAGGAAAAACAAAACAAGGAACTCCAGCGTATCCCTCCTCCCCCGAATACTCATACGGCGCATCCAAATCCACACTCGCAGAAGGAACATGCCCCTCCCTGGCCCCAAACTCAAACAGAAAATCCGGATCCTGCGTATTCCCCCAAACAGAAATCTTCGTGACTTGTCGCGTAGCTCCAAACAAAGCTTTATGTTGCGACACCATGAAAGCTCCTCCGCGCCCGTTGGGGGAGCCGAGTAATGCTAGACCTTCGGGAGAGGAGGGATCGAAGCTTTTTCCTGGGTATGTTCCGAGGTTTTTGTTTTGGGTGGGAGGGGTGAGGCCGAGGGTGAGACGGAGGATGTTGCGGGATTCGTTGTTGTTGACGTGCAGGCGGAGGATGTAGTGGAGGGGGGTGTTGGGGGGACAGATTTCTTTCCAGGTGAGGGCGTTGATGTCTGACCATTTTTCTATGGGGGGGATGTCGGATTTTGTGAGGGAGGGGTTTTCTTGGGCGTTTCGGGGGCTGTTGTTTGAGATGGCGAGGATGATGTTGGCGGCGCAGTTGTAGGCGTTGGAGTAGTAGCCTCCGGTTCTCTGTGTGTGGAATCAATCAGTAATTAGATAGATCCTCGACGGAGGAAATTTTGAGGACTTACGTATCCTTTGCCAGATTTGGGATTGATGTGGTCTTTGGAGAACTTCTCGTATTTCCAATAAATGAATGTCCAAGATGGATCCGTAGTGGGAGGGATTTTGAGCTTCTCCATGACATCCTGGCGGTATCGATGGTTTCTATTGATGCCCTCTGAGTTGACCATGACCCAGCCTGCGTCCGTGATCTCGTGGTAGCTTGAGCCGGTGGCGGGATATTTGGGATCCTCTGTGGATGAACGCATAAGCCTGTTCAGTTCACATCCTCGAGCTACGTCTTTGTCGTAGTAGTCGTGCTGTCCAGGTGTCCGTTTGAGCAGGAGATCAACGCCGTTTCGATTGCGTTTCTTCGGCCGAGGGTCGGGGTCGTCGGTATCAACATTTGACGAAGACTCATTTCGCCTCTGCGCTCGCGATTCCAGGTGTAGTGAAGTATCTCGTTTCTTCTTCTTCGAAGGCGGTGTAGTTGAGCCTCCCAGCTCAAACATGATATTTGGCAAGCCTTCTGAGACAACCGCGTTGGCTTTGCCTTCACTTCCATCCCAAACTCGGATCTTCGAGATCTGTCTGGTCGCGCCAAACAAGTCCTTGTGTTGGGCCAACAGCCAGGCAACTCCTCTCCCATTTGGACTTCCGATGATGGCACTAGCTTGCCCTGCTTCTGCCTCATCCTCACTCGAAGGACGGAAGAGACGCGCTAAAAGATGGTCAGCAAACACACACGTTTGTTCGTTGGCGCGAATGCACACCTTTTGCAAATGTTCCGAGCTTGCTAGCTGTCAAAGGTACATCTTTGAAAGTGGAGACGCCATAGATCTGGTGAAGGTTTCTCACCGTTTCCGGGTTCTTGACAGTGGTGCGTAGAACGTAGTTGAGCGGTTTCGTAGGGCCACACCTGTCCCACCATTCGAATGCCATGAGTTCCGACCATTGACGGAGTGGCGTAATTTTGTCCTCTGCTGGACCATCCTTGACGTGTAGCGGCCCTTCGTTGACTATAGCTATGAGTATGCCGTGGTCACAGTTGAAGAAATTCTTGAAAGTCGCTCCTGTTGGCTGGCAATTCGCTTAGTTGTAATACCGAATAGTTCGTGAATCATGACTTACCTCCCATTTTGGATTTTCCCTGGTGGGGACGGGATACAGCTGGCTCCATGTTACCATGTCCCAACTCCGATCTAAAATGCTTGGAGCTCCCATATGAGTGAAGGCAGCACGAACGGAGTGAGCCACATCGCTGGGCTCGAAAGCGTCCGCGATCCGACCCCAGCCAAAAGCACCTACATCGCCAACAGTTGCGCCCTTATGGGCAACGCGAGGACTAGGAGCATATTCGGGAGGCAGAGTCTCGCCTTCCATCAAGCAAACGAGGCTAAATCCCTCCATCTGGTCTGTTTCGTAGTCTCCTCCTCTCTTTAGCGACGGAGCTTCCAGGTTCTGAAGCGCAACAACGCTCGATGCGGCATCTTGCTGCGTGTTGCCATGTTCAAGATCATGGCTGAGGAGCCCTGGCGGTAGCGCGAACTCGTCCCGCAGAAGGAGCAATGTGAGCGCCGCGAACAGCAGTAGTACCACTACTGTGCGGATAATCTTGTGTTTTCGTGCAGCCAGTGGCATGGCCAAGTTGTTGCGACGCGTTCAAAGTTGCAGAATGTGGCAGCCGAGGGACAGTAGTGTATCACACGTACATGTGGATAGTGAGTGTGAACAAGGTAGTCGAGCTCCGATAGAAGACGCTTGGCTTCCTGCTGCAAAGATGCTTGAGAGCAATGCCATGTGCTGCACAACGCACATGCGATCATGTGTTTGCTCGTGCTCGGCTTGAGGTGCCTTTATGTAGGCATCACATGCTGCGACGTCAAGTGAGTATGACGTCTCATGTGATGGTGGAAGGGCATAGAGATGCCGGAATGCGCCATCGCTCAGCTTCTTGAAGACTCACTGGCAGTCTTTTGCTATCGCCAGCTTTCTCTTCACTGTTTGCTTCCATTGCGATGCCAGAGACGCTGTGCGTAGCATACCGGCTGGCTTCTCCTTCACTCGAGTCCAGTTTCATTTGCTGCCCAACTTGCTTTTCAAAAGCGCAAGACTAGGTGATGTATGGGCAAAGGATAGTGCGAGATGTGTCGTTGTTTCAAGCTCGCCTCCAGGCCTGAATGCTGCGTTTCGATAGCTGGCAGTGGGGAGGCAATCACGGTGCTCCGGGTTGACGGTTTCTAGTCGAAGCATGTTACCGTCGTGTTCAGTGGCAGTAGTTGCTAAATGCTCGACATGATTGGAGTTTCTCAATCATGCTTGGTCACTGAGATGCAAGTGGATTGCGTGCACGGGACATGCCAAGCAACGTGAAAGCCATGCAAGCCATGCATTTTGGCACACGTGCCGTGCTTGCAGTGGTGTTCTTCTCATTCTTCGAAGCATTGCGGAAAGGAAATGTGCGCATAATGTTCGGAGAAGGAATCACTGGAGCCACATTAGGAGTGTAGGACTGGGAGGCTGGGCAATTGTTCAGCGTCGGCCAGACCTGTTCACCGCTAAAGCGAAACGCATACCAGACCAAGTCCGACAAGGAGCAGGCAGAGCGGACGTGTCCCAAGCTACAGTAGTATCGATGCAGGGTCAGGCAGCAAGCAATGTGAGGAGTGGTGCGGGTTGGAAGGCCGCAGGACGGATCGAGGTTGGGGTATTGACCAGCGTTCGCTTGGCAGCATTTCTTCTTGCCGTTTTCGGTACAAGGCCTTTGAATGGGTGACGGATGGGGATGGGTATCCGGGAGAGCACGTCCCGAGCCTCAAGGTGCAAATGCAGCCTCGCGTATCTTGACCGGATGGCGTATTGCTGCACGGAGCCAGGTCCTCTCGTCGCAATAGGACCGAGCTCCTTCCTTCGCAACTTCCACAATCATCCATATGCGGAGGGGCTGGTCACGATAGGGAGCGTGTGATGGGGTGCAGGATATGGGAAAGAGCAAACAGATGCCCATGCGAAGGCAATTGCACTGCGCGGCGCGGCGCGGCGCTCGCAAGGTGGCTGGGCTGGGCTGGGCGGCGAAGGGCGGCAAACTGCATACAGAAGGAGATCAAGCGGGCGATGTGGTGGCTAGAGACTAAAGCCTAGCGAGCCGTGGTCGAAACCGGTTCGAGACATAAGCTTTGCACACTTCGTCACGATGCGGTAACAGAGATCGCGGGAGAATATCACGACGAAAGCTCACCTCGCCGCAGCGAGCCAGCGGCCTCGTGATAGCGAAAGATCGTGAGACGATGGGCGGGCTGGAAGTGCTCCTGGAGATCTCAGCAGCAGGCGACGTACTACTAATGTATCTATACCCTGCCACTGGCACTCCGGATCTTAAGAGTTCAACAAGCATCGTGCACGCCGGTCTGTGCTTGCAGCAGGAGCTCTCCCCGCAATAGAAACGCGGCAGGTCTGCTAGCGTCGACGAGCTCATTTGTTGTTTGTTTGGCAGCCGCCCGGTCAGGAGCACTCAGAACTGCCAACTGCCCACTCGCAACAGGACATGCCCATAGTGCACACGTAAATCAGTAGGCTGGTGAGACGGTGTGCGGTGCATGCCGGTCAAGTGTCCGTATCATGACCTGCTGCTTTCGATGGCGGAAGCATGGAAGCGAGCAAGCGGACGTGGGAGCGCTTGCTCTGCTCAGGATTGTGAGACTTTGATGCATGTCCAGCCGGGCAGCGCCTGCCACATTCTACACCCATCATTGGCCAACCCGCCGTGGTACGTGACTGTTACTTTACCCCACTTGCTTGCTTCGAAGCCTACACTTCAGCAGGCAACTGCTCTCTTCTCTCCTTCTTCCGCCTCCATCATCACCACCACCACCATCGACACCTCTTCTCACTGTACATACCGGACACACTCCAAGTAACATCAGACCACACGCCCAACATGATTGTCGACCCCGTCCAGGTCCTCGCGAAGCCCACGAGCTCTGTTGCTCCGGGTGAGAATAACTATGACGACAGCACTTGAGACGCCTGTACTGACACCACTGCAGTTCCCACCGTGGTCCCAAGCCTTCCAGAGTACCAAGATGCCTCTGAGACTGGTACCAGGACCCTCTGGTAAGTCGTTCTCCTCAAAATATGACACCGGGCGCTGTTTTGGCCCGGTCCTTCAAACGACGCACAGCTTCGATGCCTTCTCGGAATGCTTCAAGAGACACGAACTGATATCTGACACAGGGTTGTCTTCGTCGTCATGCTTGTTGCCACAGTCGTCTTCACTGGCATGGCATGGAGCGTCCCAATCGTGAGCTATTCCCATCATCCCGACCGAGTTGCTCGTTCGAGACTAACAGCTCTTTCCAGTCCAAGCGTCTCTACCACGTCGTCACCGCCGCCATCACCACCATTGCTGCCCTCTCTTACTTCGCCATGGCTACTGGACATGGTGTGAGCTACCACCACGTCACCCTCCGCGAGGCCCACAAGCACGTCCCAGACACCGAGCACGACCTGTACCGCCAGGTCTACTGGGCTCGCTACGTTGACTGGGCTCTTACCACTCCACTCCTGCTGCTCGATCTTGCTCTTCTCGCTGGCTTGAGCGGCGGCACTATCGTCATCACCATCTTTGCTGATGTCATCATGGTCTTGACTGGTCTCTTCGCTGCTTTCGGCGCCGAGGGTACTCCACAGAAGTGGGGATGGTACGCCATTTCTTGTGCTGCCTTCCTTACTGTAATCTGGCAGTTGTTGGTCCACGGACGCTCTTCTGCCGCCGCCAAGGGCGGAAAGGTGGGCAACTTCTTCTCCGCCATCGGTGGCTTCACCTTGATCATCTGGACTGTCTACCCAATGTAAGCATTGATAAAGCAAGCATCCACTCTGTTCAGAACCGAACGCTGACGATTATCTAGCGTCTGGGGTATTGCTGATGGCAGCCGCAACTTGAATGTCGATGAGGAGATCATCGCTTATGCTGTTCTCGACATCTTGGCCAAGCCAATCTTCGGTGCTTGGTTGCTCTTCACCCACGTCAGCATCCCAGAGACCAACGTTGATGTTGGTGGATTCTGGTCCAACGGCCTTTCTGGCGAGGGCCGCATCCGCGTCGGCGACGATGACGAGGGTGCTTAGATCAATCCTCACCAAGATCTCCACGGTGACATCCGACCAACGTAGTATTTTGTTGCGATCAAGTCAAGAACAGCAGCAAGAGAAGTCGGAGGAATGAAAATGGCACTTGGTGCTATCGAAAGATAACGAAACTCGAACGTCCAATACGAGCACGAATGGGAATGACAGGCATTTTATCGGATTACGGGCGATAACATTCAGGCGAAAGTCACTCAGATGCTCTTTCTTGAGTATTTGTGTTCTAGTGTTAATGATAATTGCAAACACACGGCGTGGAACGGAGTACCTACTCTTCTCTCTACACATCTCATCTCTCCCCCTTCGATTGACCGATGCTTGTCCCCCGATCGCTCATCAAAGTCATGCGTTGCTTCTCCTCTTTGTAACCTTGTACATTCATGCTGCATGCGGTCATCGCCGTGCCAACGTGACAGGCCCCCGCATCGAGCTGAAGCATGAGAGGCGTGCAAGCATGTCGTACTCGAGAGCTGTCTCTTCAAGGGTCTGAGCTATTGCTGATGGTGCTTCACGTGTTCTGGAAACAATCGCAAGACACAGTAGAAACAAGTTTTGAACTTGAAACCAGACGATTGGATCCAAAACGCGAATCCTCGTTGTGACGTCGTGGCTTGGACGTTGCACGTTTGGGCACCGACGCGCGCAGGCCAGTCACAAGCAAGTCTCACGTTTCTGGTCCCTCAGGAGACGAGCACGATCAAACACGCAAACAGACCGGAAACAACAAAAGCCATTCCACGAAGCGATCACAACCCACATCCTCTATACCTTCACGAGAACGAACGAACATGGCAGCCAATTCATCCGAAGCCGGTGTTGAAACCACCTCACCAAGCATGCTCGAGAGAAGAAACAGTTTGGAGAAGCATTTACAGCAGCGTCCAGATGAGCAGGACTTGAAGGTATTCGAGGCGATTTTGCGCGAGTGAGCGTGAGCATGGTGGTTGACGTACATACCACAGGACAGACATATTCTGCTGGACACAACCGCAGCGCCGGCGTTGCAGGCGCGACAACAAGAGTTGGAGAGGCAGAGGATTACGGATAACCTTAAGAAGGTAAGTGCGCATTCTCGCGGCTCGTGTACATGGTGTTGCTTCAATCGTGGCTGCGAAGCAGGCGTGGGAGAGTTGTCGTCGAGGACTATCTTCAGCAACTCCGACATCCTGTTGGATTGGCAAGGGATAGATAACTGGCATGCGTTGTGATGCCTCCTTTGAGCATTTCAATCGCAACACTGTGTGCTTTATACAGGCATGGCTTGCGAACATTAGCTCGAAGAGTGCTTCACGACGCACATGTGAAGGGGATGAGGCTTATCAGGCTGACGGTACACATGGAGAGCTTCCTCGAGCTCCCGAGCATCCGACTGTCAGCCTGTGTCAGCCGGGCAAGTTGCCAAGTTCACGATTGCTGACCATGCAACAGGGTCTCAGCCATCGCTCCGACAAGGAGACACTCATTGCAAAGAACATTCTCCCAGAGTCGACGGCAGCTCCTGCTATCCAGGCTCAGCAGAAGGAGTTGGAGCACCATATGCGCGCAGACAGCTTGGAAAAGGCGCTGAAGGAGCGTCCAACGCAGGAACAGCTGGTCAAAGATGGCATCCTCAAAGGTCAGTAAATATCATCCACTGCATGGAAGATGTTTGGTACTAAATAGCATCAGACGAGAATGCGGTGTGAAGGAAGTGGATTTTGGCAGGAATAGTGACTATAAGTGTGGATCATTCATCATTATTATTGCCCCGGTCCTGCGAGGCCTCGTGGAGGTGGACTCGCAGACGTGGCGAGTGGGATTGCGTAGCATCCGAGGTGGAGACTGGACTGTTTCAAAACGCAGCGCAGAGCTCGCTCCCACATACTAGTCACCACTGTAGATCAGTAACAGATGCAGCTCCAGCCTTGCCTTGCCTTGCGTGCCTCAATTGCCGTGAGCCTTCGAGAATGGATTAACGGAGAAAAGGTCGACAGACTGGCCGAGATTCTTGAGAGCGTGTGCACTGTGCACCACATAACGTTACTGAGGACGAAAATTATGTCCGTCACGGCAAGTGAGTGCTTCTGCCGCAAGTCACATGCAGGCGAGGAGCTGGCATTAGTCCTAGAATAGCTCTCACCAGGGCAGGGCTGTTGCAAATAGCAACGGACGCTACGCTAAGCGCTTTTCTCATCCACTCTTCTCCGTCTTGTCTCAGAGCGCGCTGCGTGGGAAATGCGAGTGCGAAGCGAGGAGAATGCGCACACCGGTGAAATCAATATGAGGCAGTGAAGTTGGCTGGCAGTACATGTGTCCCTGAGATGGTTTTTATAGGAGTCCTTATTACACTCTCGCGTTTCGAGTAGGAGGCCAGGCGGCAACGTTGGGGTTGGGCACTGTGCGCAATCCCATCCCATGTGAAGCACGGGCCATCGCCAAAAGGTTGTTTCAGAGTGTACCCTAAAATACTTTCGGCCGTTCGTTGTCTCGGCGGCGAGACCTTAACTTTACCGTGGGACTCGCTGCTGCTGCTGCTGCCGCTGCTGCTGCTTTCAAGATACAAGCGACCTCTTCGAGGCCACGCGCGCTCACCACCACATCGCCTGCTTCCACACCCGCTACTGCGTGCACCTGACGACGTGCCTCCATTGCAGCGCTCTCTCGAGACGCGCGCGCCCTCCCGCCCGCCCGCTGCACAAACGAAGCCGGCTCTGCCACGGCAGCTTTCTTTGTTTCGACACCTACGAGAGGCGCATTCGGCCGTCTGCAAGACACTTGACCACCACACTTGCACCGAGACACACTCGGCTTGGAGAATCTGTTCTCGCTACAGGATTGCCTTGCCTTGCCGCCAGAAGCCAGCGCTTAGCAACCGATCCCGCTCAGCCCAGCCCTGGACCGCTCATTCCACGCCGACTGCCATTCGAGTCTCGACGCCAGATACACCGTGTGCCAGAGCCGCGCACTCATCAGTGTGCAGCGCGTGAGCGAGGAACACGGCACCACTGCGCTTTCAAAGCTTCTCACGGTAAGTTTTGGAACAAACCTCAAACCTTGCGCCGTGCTAGGGCCAGGGCGTATGTCCATGGAAATGGCCATCAGCAGCCAAATCGAACACCTTACTCCTGCTTCATATCCGCCCCCCTCTCTATATCAGCGTCCTCAATGCTGGTGGCCACGCGTGTTGCAATCGCTAATTGCTGAACCCTAGCCTAGCCGAGCGCCTACGCGCCAAACTTAGCTCTCGAGCCCCCATTGGCCGCAACCTCGAGCCGCCTTCTGGAAAGCTGCAAGCCAGTGATCGACCTCTCAGCTGCCTTCACATTCGTCTATTCTTCTTGTTGCCCGGCTTATTCGCAGCGCCTAATCTGCACGCCTCACGCCCATTCACTCTTCTTCACCTTTCTGCCCCGCGCGAGGCGAGAGAGCATGTGGTGAATGGACTGCTAAGAAAAGCATCCCACCCGGCCCCCCCACAAGCATCATTATACACTCTCTACCTTCTATCCTCGACGCCAAAGGCGCGACGCCCTTCCCTGTGTAGCGTTTGGCGCCGTCGAGATCTGGTATCTCACCAGTGACAGTCCTTCCTGGAGAAGGCATTCCGGTGCGTATTCATTGATTGCGCAACACACCCAACCACTCACACCTTTGCACCTGCGACCACTGCATCTCCGGTGCATGTGTCTTGCGCTCACATGTACCACGGTTGGCAAGCGCCATCGTTCTTTGACGCAAACGGCAGTATCACTGACAGCGATACGACTCTACTTTGCCAACTGCCTTGTGCCATTCTTCACTTCCATTCACCTCACTTTCGGGCCCTTTCCTCTCGCAGGAAACATCACACTCGCTGACATGACCTCCCCTAGATCTTTAATAGCCAATTGGCAAGACCAACGTACATACTTTACACCGCAGAACGAAATCAAAAAAGCTCATGGCCTGCGCTTCTGGCAAAAGCGAAGAATGACCAGCGTTCCATCGCCAGAAGCATCCACGTTCTCTATTCGATCCATGTATTCCCCACTTTCATCCACGACAAACATGTCGCACATGGACGAGCAAACCAAGCAATTACCTCAACCTTCCTCGCAACGAAGTCTTCAGCCTTCATCAGAGTACGAAAACTTTGTTCGAAAGTTTCATCAACATCAAATCAGCGATTCAACGAACACGACTGGATCGACCGACTCATCTCCGACTACTACTATCTCTACTGTGGACGACTCCAGCGCAACAGAACCTTCACCCGGCTCGTCACCCGAGTCACCTCCACCCACGACCTTTGCAGTGGGCATGCGAAGACCACGCACTGCTGATGACCGAATTGCTCCCTTCTTTGAGCTGCAGAAACAGCCGCCGCCGAGGAAGGGCCGCAATCTCAAGAATCTTGCCGTCAATACCTCGAGACATGGACCACGAGCCGCATCGACCACGAGTCTTCCACTACCGGTCCAGCCTGATGAGAATGCGTCCACTCTGTCGCCGTCTTTTGTGAAACCTCCCACTCCACCCCGACGGAAACCGAGCAATCTTGGCTTAACGCTTCTCACACCTGGAGGTAGCAAGCCAGCACCTCAGGAGATCAAGCTTGCAATACCGCCAACGCCAGGTGTTACACGGCCCACCACACTTCGGCATTTTCAATCATCTCCATCCCTGCCGTTACTGTCAAGTCTCGGAATGCCCCATTACAGTGCATCGGATTTTCACAAACCTCGGTTACTGGAGACAATCTCCTCACCTGTCGAGCAGCCTGCTGAAGCGCCGCAGCTCGCCGAAGAAGAGGAAGAGGAGCAGAACTTTGAGGTACCTCTTTCCAGAGAAGAAAAACCTGAGGCGTATCCAGATGGACCTATCTGTGTCTATGACCCTAGCATTGACCTCTATCTCGAGCCCACAGCCGAACAAGCAAGACAATATGATGTGATCATGAATGTAGCGAGCGAAGTACGGAATCCATTGTTGGGACTCAACGAGCCTGCTGCTACCGAACCCGAGCTGCGGATAGATGGTGGCGGAGGAATTCAATTTGCGCCCAGGAAAGAACGTGACCATTTAGTGGTCAAGAAGGAAGACGCGTTGGCACAGGATGGCTCCTCTCCAACTACGCCGAAAGCCTCGCCACTGAACGCAACATTTCCCGTAAAGGCTGCAACTGTCCATGATCCGGAATACATTCACATCCCTTGGGAGCACAACAGCGACATCGTCCCAGACCTACTGCGATTATGCAAGCTCATTGACGAGAAAGTTACGCAGGGGAAGCGTATATTGATACACTGCCAATGTGGTGTCTCGCGGTCTGCAAGCCTCGTAGTCGCTTACGGTCTCTACAAGAATCCCTCGATGAGTGTCCAGGAAGCCTACGATGCCGTGAAGAAGAGGAGCAAATGGATTGGGCCCAACATGAATCTCATCATGCAACTACAAGAGTTCCGATCCAGTTTAGCAAGAGGTGGTCTCCTCACAGCCAGGAGTGCCATGAGCCCTCTCAGCCCAGGCTCGGCGTTGAGTGAATGGAATGGTCCCTTTGCAACGATTTCGCCAGCCATGCGCAATGAACCTCTATCGGCAGTCGAGACACCGTCCGCCACCGCCGCGAGTAATGGCGACCGCGGCGTGCTAAGCCCCGGACCCTCCTCCGCGCCATCTGGATTCCCATGGCCACTCCCGATCTCTGCGGCCCAACGGCAACGGTCGGTCAGCGCTGTTAAACCTGCCACTGCTTACGTCGATCCATCTGGGCACGTTCTAGCTGTACAACCGGTGCTTCCTGTGCTCCAAGTCACCGCTGCAGATGCTGGGCACCGGAAACCACCCGGTCCTGTGCGACAAGTATCATCACCCCAAGGGTTCAGCACTTTGACCACCGAGTCAGTTGGATCGCCAAGATCTGTTGAGTTTGCCATGACCCCTCTTCAACCCTCGAAAGAAGTCGAGGCTGCTGATGACTTCGGTATAATGTCGCCGACGTCGACAGAATTTACAACCAGTCGCCCATTCGACAGATCAGCTCTGCTTGCGCAACTCGGTATGGGATCAATGCGCGCTGATGAAGAAACACCCCGTCGTTCCATATCGTTACGCAATCGACAACAATATACAATGCGGACAGGACAATGCGAGCAAAGTCGGAATTGCTTAGATGTAACGCAACCCCGACGGCTTCGCGGCAAGGTTTCATCTCCCTCGCTGCATGAACAACAAGAGCTCCAAGCACTGCAAGCCAAGATCGAAGCGGACCTGTCAATGCAACGTAATGCTGGCTCACCACAATTCAACCAGCTTTCAAGCACAGCAGAAGAGCCACTCATGTCGCCACGAGCGACTGAATTCACGAGCAATCCTTTTGCTCTCTCGCTCGGCGTTCCTCCTCCGACAAGCGAGAACAATAACCACAAGAGCAATAATGCTTCCCCGAGGATGTCGGACATCGACCCAAGAAGTCCTGCACATAAGGGAGCGAGTCCGATAACGCGCTCGATACTGGATGTTTTATGAAAGCGACGAAGCGAATCGAAGAACAAGACACAGCAAGTGTACAAGGCTACTCATCACAGAGGGAAGATGAGAGGGCCAATATAACCCAATCTCATTTTTGGGCACCGGGAGTTTTATGGGCTACAGCGACATCTTCGTAGCGCTGGCGTTCGCTGTTCTTTTTGGGATGAAGTCTTACTGGATATACATGGAATCGGCGTTTTCTACTCTTGGATGGATGGGTCGGTGGATTGCATTGAGGAAGGAGGGAAACACCTGACCTGAAGCACCTTTCGCGAGGCGTAGGATTTGACGATCGGTGTGTGAATTGTTTGGTTGGTTCTTGTGGATGGATGGTAGACGATGTGACCCATGATGGAATGGTGGCGCAGAAATTCTGCTGCTGCCGCCTTGTACAATTAGCTCCTTTTCTTCACTGTGAATGGAAAGAAATTCCTTCGCTTGATCGTAATCGATACGATTTTTCCAACTATATCTTCTCAAAACTAAAATTCCATCTCGGATAATGTATATGTATCTCTTTCCCTCCCTGCTGCGTCAAGGAACTTATCGTCACTTCATTCCGTTTCAACCCTATCAATTTCCCGACATCACTCGATCCAAACCCCGTATCTACAGGCGCCATTTTAATCTCATCCCCAGCTTTCAGTCCCGACAAATCATTCTCTTCAACTTCCAACTCCGTCTCTTCAAACCCCGAATTCAAAATTCTATCCACACATTCCACGGATTCAAGTTCGGTGGGTTTGGGGGCGGATTCTTTGGCTTTTTCGATGGCCGTTTTATACCTACGTCAAGAAACCCCAACCATCAATCATCAGTATCGAAGTTTTCTGGGTGACACATGAATGAATGAATGAATGACACTCACCGTCCCAACCACCCCACCGTCCCCGGAAATTTCCTGGCATTAAACTCTTCTTCGGGAAAACTCCCCGGTAACATCCCCAGCCAATCGAAAATCCACGCTGCGTGGATGTCCGCTAACGTCGGTCCTCCCTCTTTTTCTTCTGTCCCTCGACCAAGTATCCATGTCCGTCCATCACTCAGGACGTTTTCCAGAAATTCGAAATTCTCCCGCATTTCCGCCAGCGCGGAGGGTCGGAGGGAGTCTTGAGTCGCTTTGTCCCAGGGCCGACCCCAGAGGGCTTCGCGATCGGATTGGAATTTGGGATCCTGCATGAGGTCGAGGTCAGAGGAGATGGTTGCGGCGGCGGATTTGAAGACTACGGTGTCGGTCCATTTTTCGAAGAGGTATTCTAATGCCTTTTCGGTCGACGTGTCTGCGGAGATTTTCTTGTGGGTGGGGGTGTTTTCTGGGTAGAGAGATTCGAGTTTTTGGAGGATTAGGAGGGTGTCGCAGTAGATGTCCAGGCCGCAGGATAGGAGGGGGATGCGGCGGTAACGTACGCCTAGGGCGGTGAGGTCCGGGCGAGGGAGGGTTATGGGTTGTTCGCAGCGGGAGTAGGGGATTTTTCGGAGGGCCATGTAGGCGGTTATTTTGCTGGCCCAGGCGGAGAGGGACCAGAGGAAGAGGATTGGTTCGTTGGTTGGGGGCATTGTGGGTGTGGTTGATGGATGAATCGGGGGATGTTGATGTATTCTTTGCGGGACTGATCTGTTCTTTTCTACTTCTTCTTATATGAAGTGTGAAAGATGAGGAAGGGCGCTTCGAACTGCCTACCTTTTTATTGTGCTGTCTTCCTACGAGTGGAAGTCTAGTGGCATTATTGGTACAAAGTATGCTGTTGATCAGAAGAACCCCTCACGACGGAGCTGTGGAAGGAGGTCTAGACCTGATATGATGAGTGGGCGTCGGAGGGTATTTGAAATGGGTTTGGTCCTCTACTCATCTCTCTGATGAAGCATTCATCACCGGCGAGACTGTTCGCCAACATTGCAACTTGGAGCAATATGGCAATGTCGATGTACTAAACGATGACGTAGAACTGGCGACGACCTTTCATGTCGTCAAATTGCCCGATGCTGCGGTTGATGAAGAGAAGCGTTCGTAGATATGTGGAATGGTTCCAAAAGCTGTGATTATGACATGTGGTTACACAATGACATGTGAGGTGTTGTCAATTACAAGGATGTTTTCGACATCGCTGCCGCTGGCCGGCCGAAAGAAAGCTGAGCAACCAAGACAATGACATCGCGGCGCCAATGCTCCCGAGCTCCGCGTCTCTCCTTGCCGCGTAGCGAATGCTCTCAGAACTCATCACTCTACCTCTACCCAACAATGTCAGCCAGCTAACCCACAAACTGACTGGACAAGTCGCAGAAGCACTGTCCAGTCCCCTCGCCATGACATCGGCCTTCGTCTCAAAATCCAAACGCGTCCGCTTCGAACTCACCCTCCGAATCCTCGACTTAAACAACGTCCCACTCGTCACCGGCACCTCATTCATTAAATGGCACCTCCCCACCTCCTCCGCAGCCGAACACCGCGGCCAAACAAACAAATGTCCCATCCGCGACCACCGCGTCCAATACGACTATGAAAAACAACTCACCGTCCGCCTCCACGTCGGCAAAGACGGAATGCTCGAAGAATGTCTCATACATTTCCAAGTCGAACAGGAATACTCCAGCAGTGGACGAGGGGAACGCATCAAATTGGGGGAAATCCATCTCAATCTTGCAGAATATGCGGACACGGCACTAGAACTCCCATCGAGTCCTGGCGCTGGCGCTGGCGGCGGGTCAACTGATGAAGAAGGTGGAGGAGGCATTACACGTCGATACCTCATGCAAGAATCGAAAATCAACAGTACCTTGAAAATCGGGATTCGAATGCGACATTTAGAAGGGACGCGGGATTACTTTGCGCCTCCGTTGCGGACCGCACCGGTTTTTGGGGGTATTGCGGGTATCATATCTTCGGCGGAAGCGAATAGTAGTACGCCGGGAGGAATTGGAGGGTCGCATACGCCTAATACTGAGGATGGAGAAATCGCTATCGTACCGCAGAGTTTTAGTATTGATAATAAAGAGGTGGGGGAGATGCAGGATATGTATCGAAGGACGCTGGCGGCGTTTTGGACGAGTCAGCCGGGGGAGTTGAAGGCTGATGAGTGTATCGAGGATTTGTTTTCTGGGGGCGATGGGTGGGGGAAGGGAGGGAGGCCTGTGACTGCTGCGAGGAGTTTGCCTGGGAGTGGGGATAGTACGCCGAATGCTGGGGATGGGGGGATGAGTAGGGGTAATAGTACGGTGGGGAAAGTTGAGGATGGGAGTAGGCATAAGCATAAGTTTTCGTCGAGTAGTCATCATCATCATGGACATCATCATAGGAGGGAGAAGAGCTTTAGGAAGGTACCTGGGGAGTTGGAGGAGATGGATGTGAGGGAGGATCTGATCAGCTGGCAGATTGGGCAGAAGGCGTTTGGATGAGACGGTAAACAACCTTCTCGAGCCCAGCTTCATCGTCTTCGTCATGCCCTCACGGCCTGTCTAGTTCAGGATAATATCTGAAAACACCCATACTATACTTCAACCTCCTCTCACTCGCCAAATACTCTTTAATCCCCTCCTCTTCCTTTACACTTTCATAAAAGGTCCCTAGTAATTCCGGGAACTCTTTCCTCCTCACCTCCAGCTCCTTGGGGAACGCATACTTGGCTCCATCCAGTATCTGCCAGACAGTGAGGTCTGCGTATGTAAGCCGATCACCTACGAGATACTTATGTTGTCCAGCGGAAGAATTCCACTTCAATTGCCTCTCAAAGTACTTGAAGAATTTGGGTATCCTCGTTGCCCTCAAATCTTTAGCCTTTTCCAACGCCGCATCTTTTTGATCTTCGTAGTATTTCGAGGCCTGCAGTGTGTCAGTATCTCAACACTTTCAGAAATGAAGCCGACTGACTTACCGCAATTGGATGATGCGTATCATGAATCTCATTATTCAAGTCCAAAGCCTGCAATCAGTCAGCCAGTCAGCTCTTCACCCAAACCCTTCTCTCTCATTATCTTTCACCCACAGTAAGAGCCAACTGCTGCACATAAAACTTCTCATCTCCAGCAGGCACCAATCCCAACTTCTCCCCAAGATAAATCAAAATATTCGGCGTCTGACTTATCACCAAAGCCTTCTCCCCATCCCTAACTCTCAAAGCCGGAGGCGAGAAAACCGGAGGATTCCCATCACTTGACTCTATTCCGTCATTCATGCACACTTGCTGAACTTCTGCATATCCATTCTTATGATCCTCATTCGCGATATCGGTGTAAGGCACGCCTGCGGCTTCGAAAGCCAAACGGATGAACTCGCCTCGTCCGGGGATGCCAGGGTGGTAGAGGAGTTCGTAGGTGGGATGGGAGGTGCGGAGTTTCTTGGCTGGTTGGTCAGCCATTTCGACGCCTCGAGGCTTAGCTTGGAGGACGAAGATCGGGGTCTTGCTGAGTGTGGCGTAAAGTTTGCCAGAGGAGGAGGCGAAGCTGCGTATACCCGCTGGAGAATCTTTAATGCCTGGGAGACGATTCCTTGCGAGTCGGATGTTGTTGGAAGCTGTGCGGATATGCTTCGTTGCTAAGCGTGGCTGTGTGTGGAAGTTGTTAATGCCGAGTTTGGGGTTTGATGCGAGATACATACAGTAGTACGTACGTGGAAGAGGTAGTGTGTTGCCACTGATTGTCTCGTAAGGAGTCGCGAGGATGACATGCAACGTGAGGTTGAATATGTCTGTAGTAGTTGCCTGGGATGTGGAATCGTGTGCGATGTTCCTGCCCGGGTACCTCCTCTATCCTTAACGCTAAACTCCGGCTGACTAATGGCGTTCACGTGAAGAATTGGAGACCGCGTGACCGCTATGAGTTGGCATTCCAGGTTCATGCTAGAGTCTTGCAGAGGATGATCACTTCTGATTGCACTTCACGTAGTACGGTGGCTGGGATGCCTGTGAGTAGCAGGCGGTAAGAGAGCCAGTCTCCGCACATCTGGACTGCTCTGATCGTGATCGTGAGCGTTGCCGCTGACGAGGCAACTGATTGTGAGGAAGAGAATGCGTGAGCCATTCTTGGCTTGGATGTCCTATTCTCATTACAATCGTTACTGTTATTCTATTTAGCAGATCCACCTAATGGAGCCAAGGTTAGCGTTCATGATCCCCGAGTATCCATCCCCTCCAAACCAGAAGAAGAAGAATTCGATCCATGCCGAGCCAAAAAGCTTCCTCCTTGTTCAGTTCAATCTCGCCGCCCTTTGCAGAAAGTGTTGTTGAGACATCCTGCCCAACGCAGACCAGCACTCAGTGAAGAGGCCTCGCGATCTGGGAATTGTACAACTTGTAAAAACATCATGCGTTCATCCGTAATGCTCGCTGTTCATGTTCTGTAGTGCCATGCAGTAAAAAATACTTCTCTCCAATGCAAATGATAGTGTAGTGATCTAAGCCCGAACAGGCTGCTGTTGGTAATATGATGCATGACCGCTGCCATTCCGACTCAAGCTCGGCCGGATGTCGACACTTGGGCGTTTGATGCTGTAGCCGGTCTGATACTTGATATCCTCCGGTCGATACCTGCGATAGTTGATGCCCTCATCAACAGGCGGAGCGTGGGGTCCATGAGCTTGACGAGGAGATCCAGAAGCAGGTCGACTATCGCGTTCACGTGGAATCTCGCCGTAAAGCCGCTGATCGTACTTGTAGCTCGGTTCCCGTTCTCGTGGCGAGGTGTCTCGACCACTGCTTGGACGTGAGTTGTCGTAAGGGTCAACTCCGCTACCATTAAACTTGTAACTCGTGGTGCGTACGTTTGGTGGCGATGGCTGAGTGGTAGCAAAGTTCCGCGCAGATGTTGAGCGGTGAGTCGTCAACCTTGGATCACGTACATCTCGATCGCGAGGCATTTCGCGAGAATCTTTGTAGCCTCGGCTATCTCTTGACTCACGCATGTCTCGTAGAGGCTCGCGGGCTTCTTTCGTCGGAGAAGGACTGCGCGTGGTTTTGCGAGTGTACTGTGGTCGTTGTGGCCTTGGTGGCTTCTCGAGCTCCCGTGTCTCAGTGCGGTAGCCGTCAGGTGTAGCAAACTCATTGTCGTCTGCATACTGCTTTCCATAAGGAAACTTGTGTGTCGGCACTGCTGACTCCTCTGGTGTGGGAGCTGGCGTAGGCATTCCACCGTTGAGCTCCGTGGATCGGAAGTTTGAGCTCTTGGTCGGGACTGTATTTTCTGACTTGCGAGTAGGCATGGTTTCAGATCTTTGCATTGGTCGAACTGGAGGCGCCTCAGAATTGATCTGAACAGAAGCAGAGCGTGGTTTCTCCGGAATGTGAATGTCTGCCGGAGAGGATTTGCTCGTGGCGAGTGGCGGAGGCTTTCGTTTCTCAACAACCCTCTCTTCGCTCGATCTTCGTTCGGGAGTGCGTGATGATGCTTTCTTTGACGATTCTTTCTCCTTACTGCTGGATTCTTTTCCAGGCTTTGAGGATGCACGACGAACCATGACAGCTGGACGACCATCTTTGCGCTTGACATACTCCACGCCATCTTTCGAAGAGCCCATTCGGACTGGTGAAGGACGGCGTTCTCTCTCCCTTTCGCGTTCACGCTCGCGATCTGATGGCTCAGGACGGCGAGGAGCTCCACGTGAGGATGCAATGTAGTCGCGCACATCGTTGGTCTGGGTGAAGAGTTTTCGAGCGCGTTCATCGCCGTAGTGGCCTTCCTCTGCCTCACGGCGCTGCTTGAACATCTGAGCGTAGTATGTTTCCCTCGCTCTGCGTTCCTCGTCTTCCTCGGGCATGCGTCGGCTGCGCATTTCCTGCTCGTCCGATTCGCTGTCAGAATCCACATCAACGACGAAAGGCGTGTGCTTTCGCTCTCGCTCCTGCCTGGTGTCCCGGTCTGACTGTCGGGTCTTTTCGCGTCTCCGCTCCTTTTCGTGTTCTTTGACGCTCTTAGCCTTCTGAGCTGCACTCTTGAATCTCTCCTTGACCTCGTGAGCAGTCCGCCGGGAAGTCCGCTCGCGCTCGGGCTCAGGCTCTTTTCGCTGCGTTGCTCTGGGTTGTGGATCAAAGTAGTCCGCCGCATAAGGTGGCCTCCGTTCTTCGTACTGAGGAGTCGGGCGTGCTGGCTCCGGACCGCGACTTGCATATGCTCCTCGTGGTGCTTCTGACGGCGCGGTCCTGTATGGGGGCGAGGGACCTGACTTTTCTGCGCCACGCGATCTTCCAGCACCCTGCGACCGCGCCATGGCCTCCTTCTTCAGCTCTGCCAGACGTACTTGGGCATCGTATCGCTCTCTCCGACTCTCGTCAATCAGGATTTCATACGCGCTCTGGATCTTGTGGAATCTGTCGGCAGCGGCCTGTTTCTCGGCGGGATCTGTCACCTTATCCGGATGGCATTTGAGGACCAGTTTCCGATGTGCAGTCTTGACGGCCGCTGATGTCGCATCTTTGGGCACTCCTAGGGCCTCATAGGGATCCGGAGGTAAAGGAGATCCCATGTCTGAGCCGTGTTGACTGTGGACCGGTCAGGCTGACCGGGAGTGCATGCGCAAACCGAGTGGGAGTCGCCGTGATTAAGGCTAGGGAAGGCTTTCGTGAGCGGTGTGGGAACAATGTGTCGTGCTGATGTGAGGCCGCGAGGCGATCAGTGCCTCAGTACGGACCAGATATATGGCAAGTGAGTAGTGCGCAGTTCACAGTTCGCAGACGTAGGACCGTCTGTCATACACTGCGGCTTAGACGGCGACGACGTGGATCGACAGGAGTACCGCAGCACACAGGCAGTTATGCGACTGGGTGATCGCCCCTGCGAACACGCCGGGTTGAGAATGCAAAGCGATGATGATGAGGTCGCGGACGCCAAGCTGAAAAATGACGTTCTCCCGCGGAAGCCGACAGACGGAAGTTGAGCGAAGATGCCGAGCGTTGGAAATGAACGATGAACGATTTAATGCGCGTACTCCGCGCACGAACTGATGAAGCAGCTGCTGATGATATCTGTGCCCACGCTGCGCTCGTGTATATGCCGCGCAATAGCTGTGTGAAGAATCGCTGCAGCAGGTCTGGACTCTGCAGCTGCGAGGAGCGGTGTCGCACGCGCCTGACGACCTTGACGATGGTCGGTGTGGCAGGGGATGCTGGCCCAGGACTGCAGAAACTCCCGCGCAAATCCAGATCCTGCGTGTCCGAATCCGAACGGGGGCAGTGCGGTGCTCTGCTGGGGATTTCCTTGCAGTGCGAAAGGGTTGCGTGTTGCACAGCCGTGATATCAGATGGCGAGAGGTGGTATGTTCAGCATCAAAATATTCACAGAAGAATAATCAGCAGCGAGCGTGGCGAGGGCGAGGGCGAGGGCGAGGATGAAGACTGGCCACCTCCGCTTTGCCCCCCAGCAACAGAGAAGCAATCACAACGCGTGGCAGGGTATCATGCACGCAGCACGCTCAGCGACCACGTAGCACCGCTCAGAAGCGCGAAGACCGCCGTGCCAGCGAATCTAAGGTGCAGATGCTCCAAAAACACTACGTGGGCGAAGTCTCCTCCTGACACTCACTCCGATTGCTCAGTGTAGAGAATCTTGCAGTAGTCCTGCAGACATCGCCGAGCCATTGGCTACACACATCCCTCGCCCATTCGACCACTAGGACCAGAGCCGCAAGGTCCGGATCCCATGGCCACCCGAGACCTCTCAAGGCGAGCTCAGCAAGGCATCGAGGAAACAAGAGCTCCAGACTTCACTCGAAGCAATTGTCAAGCTGAAGGCAAGAATCACATTGATTCAGGTTATGATAGGCCGGTGCAAACGCCCGTACAGAGCGCTTCGGCGCCAATCAGGTCGACTTATGCAGCTAATTCTGTCGATCACTGGAGCACAACGCACGCTCATGCTGCCACACTGGCACAAGAACACCAGCTATTCCTCGCTTCTACTTCAACTACGTCCACGCTGAAAATCCTTCCATCGGGATTTCTAAACCAGGCACCCTTTCAGCTTGCTGTCAGACAGAGACTCCATTCCTTCCGTGCCCTCAGGCAAAGCTGAGCCTGAGACTCGGAGAAGCTTGAGCCTAACCTGTATGTCGGACCCCGAGGGTAAATTTCGACCCGAAGATGCGACCCAGGGACGCAGAAAATGTCGAAATCTGTCAAAGATGGCCGTTGTTTCATGCCTTGCCCGTCTCAGCAAAGATGCTCACCTGGACAGTCTTTGGCGAGGCCCGCTATATGTGGAGTGGAGTCCTTTGCCTCTGAATCGCAATCGACTAGCAAGGCGGGGATCTGGCATCTCTCATCAGGTAGACATACAGCTGATCATACAGTCACGAGTTAGCTGCGCACAGAAACACACCAATCGTCATTGTGTTGCGCTTGCAGCGGAACAGAGCCCAACAGTCCAGTGTTCGTGGATACGACTGCGTGGTCGGAGAAATCATTACATCACGTGTAACGATCAACATGTTTGCATCGTCCAGCGAAGAATGTGCCTGAAATCAACCAGAATGTGGGCCTGATTGACATCGATTGACGATCTCATGATGACGGTGGCAACGCTCGTCTTGTGCAGGGACAAACGAAACAGTAAGTCAGCAAGCTGGTCACTACTGCTGTCGCGTAACTAGGCGGATGTCTTCGTGGTCATCTTCCTTCCGGCGGATCTTTATGCGACTGACCGACCCGCATCGTTTTCGTGGTCGGAAGACCGCCAGACATTGCGCTGGCATGGTGGTTATGTGCTGTCGTCGGTTTTATGATGCTGTCCAGTCTCCACACTCATCGCATGTGTTGGCTGAGTTGGTAATAGCAGATCCACGACAATCGGCTTATTGAAAGTCTTCGCTGCTCGTCCGAAAGACTTGGCCACAATACTTGCGTTGACGATAGCGGTCTCTTTTCCGCCTTCCAGAGCAGCACCGGCTTTACCTGTCAAATCCAGTAGCGACATCTTCTTATTGCCAGCACCTGGGTCCTCCCATGCTGTTTTCGCACATTCACCCTCTGCGTCTTCCCATCTTACCACGCAAGCGCCTCTTCCTTCATGACAATGGCCGCACACGTGGAGTTGAGGTCTGCTGCTGACTAGTGCCCGCTTCAATCCCTCACAGCCGCCTTCTGTCCAGTGAGCACTAGTATCGCAACACCCGAACGCAGGCGTGTGTGTAATCAGCAGATCTATATCGGGTGGTATATCGTTCCACATTGTATAAGCATCTGCGTCGCTGTACTGGAACGCCCAATTCTGCTTTCCTCGGTCCGGCGAATACGGTGAACCAAAGACACGTAAGGAGACGTTGTGTTCTGGTAAACATACCACCGCAGCAGAATGTTGTAGGTACACGAAATCACCGTCAGCCACGAGTTTCCGACATGCTTCGACGTCAGAGTCTGCAGGAACAACAGCCCATCCAGTGCTGTGCTTCAGGGCGTAGTTCGGATCTAAGGATAAGTCATGGTTACCAGCAATGACAATCTTCACCGCAAAGTCTGCCTTCGAGATCCAGGATACGGCCTTTTGCAGTTCGGAGAGACTGCCTTGGTTCGTGAGATCTCCGGCGTGTATCAGAATATCTTGACATCGCCAGTCAGCAGAGCCCGAAGGGTTGAGCCATGACACATCGACATACCTCCCTTTGGCAAGACGAAGCCTTGCCCTGGAGCTGCATTGTGTGTGTCAGAAATGCATACAATTCGAAGTTTCTTTGATATAGACATGGTGAGCTTCTTGAATCATGTCCACATCAGCAGGGTGTGACAGGGTTATGCATATAAGGGGACAGATCTGTCTGACAGTCTTCGCGTCCCGAGCAAGTACGACGCGTTCTTTGCTCCGATCAGCTGTTAGCCTTCCCTCGTACACCAAATTCGCAAGACACACTGGTAATGCTGGAACAAATCGTTGAGTGAGGATAAAATCTAGAATCGAAGGGATACTTTCTTAGATTCATAAGATGACTCTTGCCTTGCCTTGATCTGAGGGCGAACCGGTGAACAGTGCTTACGCACGCACGGACTCGCGCCTGCCGCGACTTCATCTCAACATCACTTACGAAACTTCACTTCTCGCTATATCATCGTTCATCTAACCGTCGCGATGTCTTGATGTGTTCGTTACCTCATTATTTTGCTACAAAAAGGTCCAGCACGACCCTAGGTACTATAGTCGCTATAATAGCTCTTCAAAGGTCCACGCTTGGGACGGCTCCAAAGCTACCACTTTCCAGCGCCCGCAAGTCCTCACGGTAGCATAGCAAAGATGTAAGGCTTTGTACAGAACTCGCTGGCGCTGAAAACTTGAGCAAGATGCGGTCAAGGTCAAGTGTCTTCCTCTGCTGTCCTCATTCTTCACTATATGTATGGCCGTTGAACTTCACTTTCACGCGTCCGACCGCAGCACCACACCCATGTAGCTCCGTGGAAGGCTAGTAGAGCATCGACCGCGGGGCACAATGGACGATATTCGACTTCACGGTGGTTCGACCGACGTCTCTGCACCACACCATCAGGTGCTTGGCCACTTGCTAAGGCAATCCTACAACAAGAAGACAAGCAAGAACAGTACTATCGCCATGGCACACCGAAGCCCACGAAGTGACATTGGGAAGACAAGAAGAAGCAACACCTTCAAGTGGTCCGATGATATGAGAGTTTTCCTACATGTTCTCTACACAGACTTTACCTACAGCAAATCGGAGAATGCTATCATTTTCAGCTCTGTTTTCGGCGATGAGGTCCGCCAACACGGTGCGACAAACGATCGCCTACAGGTTCTCATGACTGCGCAGATTCGCGAGCGCAATCAGATGCGCGCGAAGATCTGGGTGGACATTTGCAGAACATCTTTGGACGCAGCAGAGCTCGAGCGCAGAGAACGTTTTAGAGCTAAGATACAAGAAATTGCGCCTTCTAGCAAGGGCCACAGTACGCGTCGACCTCAGTTAGGGACATCATGTACAACACCTGCATTGCGACCGCCATCGAAAGCAAGCCGAGCCATTGATCCGACCTCACGAGCTCTGGTGCCCGTAATTCGGAGACAGCAGCCTGTCCAGAATAGGAATAGGATTACTTCACTGGCTAAGCAGACACCATCGCCAAAGAGGTCGAATAATGTCACAGCCGTGCAGAAGGTCCAGTTCACGCAATTCCACGGAAATGTCATTGATGTCACTCCGAAAAATCGGGCGCAGATCACGAAAGATCTGATTCCGGTTCAAGCTCAAGAAGCCCATCCACTGATGGGCGGGCTTGTCTTCCGATATTGGGCAAAGGACAGATCCTCCGGCATCAACAGCGAGAACGGTTTCGTTGCTCGAAAATACGCCAACCGCGTTATCTTCCCTCAACCGCCTCCCTCGTGCACTTCTCTCGACTGGACAGAATTGTTCTATCACATCGACCGCATCGGAATTCAGGAGAAATTCGAATCACCATATATATCGGTATCGAACTCCATGATATGGACCATCCGCTTAGCTTTGAGGGAGATCGAGGACAATCCTGGCTGTCAAGGCCGTATCTCCGTAATTGATGCAAGCAGTCTGGCAAGAGGATCACTATATTACGTCCCTCCCTACCATCGAGAAATGAAGAAAAGCTTTGAATTCACCGCCGGCTCATGGCGTTACGCCGGGTGAGCACGTTCTGTCCATCATTTTTTGATTATTCTTAAGCTGACTTGCTGGCAGGACGCATGAGTTCATCGTCTGGAAAGAGATTCCACGTAGAGCGATGCTTCACACGTTCACTGTCAAAGACCTCATGCAATTTGTTCAACACAGTGAGGTCCTTCGAGAGACCCTTCGCTTTGACTTGATTACAATGACCCTTGATCTTAAGTCCAGAATCATCCCTGCGCTGGAACAGCGCAACTTGGGCCTTACGAGTGAGCTCGTCGAAGCCTTTGCAAGACTTGCCAACCTAATGGGCTTTACGACTCAGTCTAGCATCGAGCATATCTCAAACCTGCTTTGCGAATTGTGCCAGGGCTGGGCCATCAACCTTGTCCGGCATACCGACAGCCAATGGAATCATCTCGCCGGCATCTTCTCAAATGCTCTTTTCACTGCCGATGGAAGACCACCAAACGTTCGCGACGAGATGTGCTTGAAACGCGGTTTCCTCGATGGTGTGGCGTTCGGTTCGTCAGCACACTTCAATACTCGACACAGCGAGAAGACAATAAATCTGATGTATAAGCAAGCAAGAGCAATTGGTCTAGGTGATCCAGGCAAAATAATCATGGACGAGCTCGCCTCGGCTCAGCTTGCTCTCATGATGTTCGAGAAGAGACAGCAGAAGACACTGCCTGGCTACAAGACCCAACTCCTCCTTCAGGGCCCGGCTAACGATGAAGGGTTTGCATCTGCAGACGAGGAGGAAGAGGAGAACGAGGAGGATACAATGGTCGTGAATCAACCAATGCTTCGTAACCGAGCGGTAAGATTCATGATGGAGGAAGATGCGACGATGGATTCGGATGATGAGATGGTCTCGTATGAGTTTGGCGATGATGGCCGTGTTGTCTAGCCAGCGCACGAATTGATGGATAATTGGGAGGTCTGAGTGAGAGCATTATTAGGCAATGGCGTCGGGGTGGAAGGCGTTTTAAGGCGTGACAGTAATCGAATTTTGGCAGGATGAGACCATCGGAAACTAATGTAATATGACCAAATACCACTGATCCAAGTGTTCAACTATGGCCTGTAGTCACAACTGCATTATTCAGAGTCTCTGATGGAAGGGATGGCTGTGCGGCGTGCGCCGCCTCAGTTGGTCAATGCTTGGCTTTCCGTTTGCGGCTTAGCCCGGTGCGGCTCCTACTCCCGCCTTCGCGACAAGTTGTTTCTGGATGCGACTTCCATCTGCACTTCCACTTCAAGTCCACCACCACCACCATCGTCAGCTGCGCAGACTCCATTTCTGCGCGTGATAACTCCTTCACTTGAACTTTTCCGACTATCGTCACCTTCCGCCGAGTCCTTACTGCCGCGCGCACGCCGACTCGAGGCCGCCGCAGCCTTTCTCACAATCACCACCTTTCCGCTAACACAACACCCCCTTCACCATGTCTGCCGAGGAAGATCTGATCGACTACTCCGACGAGGAGCTCCAGCCGACCGATGGCGCCGCTGGTGCTACCGGTGCCGCAGCCGCCAACGGCGACGCGAAGAAAGGTGACCTCACAGTTTCTGGAGGCGCAGACAAAACCAAGGGCAGCTACGTCGGAATCCACAGTACATCTTTCCGTGACTTCCTCCTGAAGCCGGAACTTCTCAAGGCTATTACGGACTGCGGCTTCGAGCATCCATCAGAGGGTTAGTCATCTCCGTACAGTTCAGTACATCCTGCTTTGAGCCTGCCGGCCATTGCCACTATCGAGGAGCGTCCATCCATCTAGTCCATCAGAACGAGAGCATAGAAGGGCGCGCGAGTAAACGCCAGCAAAGAGTGGAGTGCTCTCAAAAGCACCTTCACTCGGCGAGCGCCAAGGCATAACAAACATCGCGTTGCAATACGCGCTGGAGTGTCGGATAAAGGCGATCTGGACTGTTCAGTCGTAGAAGTACGCATACAGAGGCAATATGCGGCGCAACTGCAAAGGTGCAGAGGTGGGCAGCAGACTGTGGCCGTTCCCACTTGAGATGGTAGAAAATTGCTCGAGGATGCCAAATTGCGCAGGTCATGTGCGGCGGCGAAGTGCCAGTCGGTTGGGATCATGGATGGATGGACGCTCTGCTCACACAAGTCTTTTCGCGCGCACAAACCATTGGACGAATATTCTAACATCACTCCAGTCCAGCAAGTCTGCATCCCACAGGCCATTCTCGGAACCGATGTTCTCTGTCAGGCAAAGTCCGGTCTCGGAAAAACGGCCGTTTTCGTGCTGTCCACACTTCAACAAATCGAGCCAGTCGCCGGCGAAGTCAGCGTGCTGGTCATGTGCCACACTCGTGAACTGGCCTTCCAGATCAAGAACGAATACCAGCGTTTCAGCAAGTATATGCCTGAGGTGAGGACCGAGGTCTTCTACGGTGGTGTTCCGATTACGGAAAACGAGAAGATCTTGCGCGACAAGACTACCCACCCGCACATCGTCGTCGCCACGCCAGGTCGTCTGAATGCTCTGGTCCGCGAGAAGAAGCTGCGACTTGGCAGTGTCTCGCGTTTCGTCCTTGACGAATGTGACAAGATGCTTGATCAGATTGGTAAGTGTAATTTGGTGCAGCAATCTTGGTCATGTACTGACTTCTTTAGACATGCGCCGTGATGTGCAGGAAATCTTCCGCGCGACGCCCACCCAGAAGCAGGTGATGATGTTTTCAGCCACCCTGTCTGCTCAGACCAAGCCAATCTGCAAGAAATTCATGCAGAATCCTCTCGAGATCTATGTCGACGACGAAGCCAAGCTCACACTCCATGGTCTTCAGCAGTACTATGTGAAGCTCACCGAGGAGGAGAAGAACAGACGCCTGAATGACCTTCTGGACACACTTTCGTACAACCAGGTCATCATCTTTGTCAAGAACACCATCCGTGCCACCGAGTTGAATCGACTGCTCGTTGAGTGCAACTTCCCCTCAATCACTGTTCACTCCAACTTGCCCCAAGACGACCGGTAAGTAGTAATCGCAGAATCAATCAAGCACTTGAAACTGACATATTTGACAGAATCAAGCGCTATCAAGCCTTCAAGAATTACGACAAGCGCATCTGTGTCAGCACAGACGTCTTTGGTCGCGGTATCGACATTGAGCGAATCAACTTGGCCATCAATTACGACATGCCAGATTCCACCACCACGAAGGAGGCTCCACCAGAGAAGGATTCTTCCGCCTACAAAGAATCCATTGCTCAGGCTGCGGACACATATCTTCATCGCGTCGGTCGTGCCGGACGTTTCGGTACCAAGGGTATTGCTATCAGCTTCGTGAGCTCCGACCGCGACGCGGATGTGCTCAAAGCGATTGAGGCGCGATTCGAGAAGAAGGTAGACGAGTACCCTGAAGGAGGCGTTCAGCTGCAGGACGGGGAGTAAAGGGCCGTCAAAGGGATCAGTTGTCGATCAGAAGGATGAGCTGTCTCCATGAGTCAAGGCAGTGTACGAGGGCGGCGTTTTCCTTAGGTTACTTGATGTACTTCTAAAAGCGACGAGACTGCTATCAACGATCATGCGCATGGTCCACGAACACGAATTGATCACGAATCATCCGGATTGCCACGTCAATGCCCTCGCGATACGGTCACGGGCTCCCTTTCACGTTGGTATCTGCACCAGGTCCCTCGAAGACCAATGTGCTTGAAAACAGTGGATTGCACCTTTCACAGAACGAGCGACGAGTACGTCTTGCATCTGGCAGCTACACACAATGCTCTTCAGCAAGCGGCTCCTTGCCGCCGGTATGATTTTGGTGGCCGCCACAGCAGAAGCAGGTCATTCACACGCAGCAGCGTTGGTCCGGCCACGCAAAGACGATACGGCTTCGCAATCAGCTTTGCAGGAGGTTGAAGCAGAGCGCAAGATCTACGAGGCCGCTTCCTACCTACTTTTCGAAGGCCATGGCCTCGGCAGTGGCAATGTATCTCGCAGCAACCTGACAACTAGACAAGTGCGGCCTGGAGGCAGCACTCTGCAACGTGGACTGAACATGTACTACACGCCACCTGGCTTCCAGTCGAACAACGGCATGCATTTTGTAAATGTTAGTGTTAGTGGTGAAGATGATAATATCATGTTCTTGGGTCAGTTGCTATACCCACTTCTGACTTTGAATGGACGCTAACGTAGGAATGAATCCATAGGCACGGAGCGCTTTCATCAAGAGATACATGAGGCATCGTGCTCCAAAGACTCAGTCGTCATCACGTTCAAGGACGAAGCAAGATTCCAGAGTATTAAGACAGAGTGGAGTTGGGTCAACCAGAAGGTCAGACACAATATCTGGCTCGTTACCGAGACTGAACAGTACAATTCCCCAGACGGTGATCAGACCTCAAGACAGCCCTGGCTGGTCACGAAAGCCAACTTTGACGACTCCAGAAACCACGTTACACTGAAAGCAAGTCCAAAGTCATTCAAGGAAGCATTCGGAAAGAGCTTCCATCTCTCGCTTACTCGTCAAGACCAAGCTACCGGCAGCGTGCGTCGTGACCCAAATAATCTCTATAACAAGAGAGGCAAATTGCTGGATGCATCCATTGATCTTAACCACAACTTCTCCGGGCTAGGTGTCGAGCTTCCGAAGGAATTCCAGGCTGTAATCAAGGATGATGGACCGGTAGGTGCCATTGAGTGCAATCCTTGTCTCACATATGGTGCCATCGACTTCGATATCGACATTCACGGGAGTATCAATGGCATCGAAGGGAAAGCAAGTATCACGGCGAAGGGTGTTGGAGCCACGATTAATGCCAACCTCTACATCTATCAAAAATTACTGGACAAGACAATGAAAGACCAAGTTATCTGGGGCTTCGTGCCGCCTCTTTGCGGCATCTACATCAAGGGCATCATGGACTTTGGTCCAACTGTCAAAGCCCTTCTCTCTGCATCACTTGCTTCAAAACCTGAAGGGCAATCGGTCTTGTCCATGGGCTACAATCTCAGCGTCCCGGATCCCTCGGAGTTCTCAGTAGGTCTGAGCACAAGCAAAGGTTTCGAAGCAAAGATCGATGGCTGGAAACCTTCATTCAAGCCTTTGACGCCTGCGATCTCCAAAGACCTTTCCATCGAAGGCAATATAGGTCCTAAGCTTGGCTTGTCACTGGATGGCAACGTCCTCGGTCAAGGCGTCTCGGTTGGTTTCCAATTTTCTGCCGCGACCCTGGATTTCAACGTCACTGCCGAAGACACCAAACCTGTATGCGACAACCCGGACTGGGAAAGAGGCGCGAAAGTGGATCTCGGCTTGGTGCAAGAAGTCAATGCCGCTCAGACCGCGAATTTTCTCGTATGGAAAGCTTCGAAGACGGAGACTTTGGCGAGTACCAGCTACGATCTTGTGGACACGTGCATCTCCGCCGCTGCCACTACGACTGTTCCTCTGGTTCGTCCGACGCAAGAAAGGAACCACTATATTCCTGCAGAAAACGGTTTGGAGCAGCTTGCTCTCGAGAAGGCGAAACTTGTGGCTTCTGTTTTTCAGACTGGACTTGCTTCTCATGTGACTGATGGCTTTAAGACTGTTACGAGCGAGTTGAAGGATGTTGGATCTACGATTTCTGCCGAGGGGAGCAAGGCTGTGGCGACTCTTACAAAGGGTGCAGAGAGCGTGGCTTCAAAGGCCACGGACGAGGTCAAAGACATCGGCCACAAAATCGAGCATGGATTCAAACATTTTTTCCATATTCCATAAAGTGGGTGGCATCTTCATGGAGTAATTCGACGACGACAGCTATTCTGATCAGCAAGCGATGAAGGAGAACTTGTTCCATGGGGCCCAGACCGTCGAGAGTAAACTCGCTCCAGGAATGGAAGAAGCCGAGTCACCAGCATTTTGGGATAAAGGTCTGCCTAATGGAACAGCTGCAAAACTTCACGAATGTTTGAATAGGCTGTTACAGCTGGACATCTTGATTTCGGACAGCTGTGATTGCCCAGTTACGACCATTCAAGGAGGGACGGATATCTTGCTGTTGAGAGCGTCTGCTTTTCATGATTCAGAAAGCTAGTCGGAGTTGGCAATGAAATGATTTTTCAATTGCTCAGACAAGTGTCGGAACGATGGCTGAATATCGGCCTCTCACGGACTACCTACATGTATGCAGGCAATCAAAACTGGGATATATCATACATGTGCTCTACAACCGGCATCTCCTACATCCATGCATTTCACTTCAACCCATAGATCTTCCAAATTCTCCTTGAATGAAACGACACTTCGCATCCACACACATATGCACTTCGGCATCCTACTTGAAACCAACTCAGCAGTTTGTCGTGTCGGCGGCATTGCTCTTGGTGCAAATACATTGCTTGTCGTCGGAGCTATGATATCACAAGTTTTTTAGAAAATGTAATCGACAACTCGAAAACTACGCTTACTCACTTATGCTTCTGATACGCAAATGATACGAGAGGGCACGAGCCTTCGCAGACGGTAGTCTGATCCACGCAGTTGGGACCTTCGAGGGGACCATCGATCTGTACACATCCCCAAGCTTTCTGATTCTGGCATTTCTTGATGCCAGCGCATGTACATGCCTCTCCAGTCAACGTTGCCGAAACGTGAGCGATGATGGTGGTCAAGCTAAGTAGTGTAGACCGCATATTGTTGTGTGTTGTGTGTTGTGTGTTGTGTGTTGTTGGTTTTTTTGACGACTGCAAGGGTTGGGCTGGCCTATATAATAGATATCAAGAATGCTGTATGATGACAACGATGGAATTTGGAAAATATCGCGATCGTAAGCACTCTCGATTGCAGCGCGACAGTACGTCTTGAGGTACGGTGTCGGAGTGAAAGTGGACACCTGCGGCCTGTGGAATCGAGATCAGACTGTATAGGCTGTTCCTAACCCTGCAGTCGTTGGCTTATTTAGAACTACGACTCGGGATGACCCAATAATGTGGGCATAGGTTCCTTCTGTTGTTGTATCCAATAATAGTAGTAGTCGCAGGGCTCAACCAACCCAACGGCAAGCGACATCCGTTGTAGGGTATTAATATGTAGATTAGAAATGTTAGAGGTTGGAAGGGATTTTTTCCTAGTATTCGTAACAGGTACAACATTGCAGTTGCACACCACAGTAGCAATATGGACTACGAAGGTTTCAACCCATCAACACACCTCGCAATTATTCCAATGCCAAAACCTCTGTCTCCTGTTGGATCCCTACTGGCCAGCATACGGTAATTGGTCTATTTACAAACCCCTTGCGTAGTAAGGCCGCTTGCCTAAGGCATAAGTATATGTGTAGAATGCACGTGCACAACCTTGAAATGTGTACCGAGGGTAGTTGTACTAGGCGGAAATTACGAAGCAGCTTAAAAAGTTAAAGGAGGTAGTAAAATCTTGTACACCCCGATTAAGCGAGATGGCGGACGGGGGTAATCCCCGTAAACGGCAGCTAGCTTAAAAGCGTTAGACGTGAACTTCTTAAAGGTACGGATAATTCCTTTAGGCAGTACGCTAGCTTTGACCAGTTAGATCCCGTTTTCAGGGATCACCGCCGTCCGCCATCTCGCTTAATCGAGGTGTACTTAGGAAAGGGGAATTTCGACAAGGGGTTTAGATTGTTGGTGTTGGAAGGGAGTAGGACTGGGATTGAATACGACTTCGTCTTGTATTATAATAACGTCTGCGGGAAGGCTGCAGAACAAACAACCGGGATTCTGCTTGTAAATATACCTTGCTCTGCACGCAAAATATCCTGCGCTACCAAACCTTGCTATTCGGTAACGAGAATCCTCGACTACAAAATCAGAGGATGAATATATATACAGATTCTATCTACTACCTTCTAGCAGCACAATCAGCGATCTGCCTAAGAAACTCACACCAACACATTCTCCAGCCGTAAACTACGAAAACATCCTATAGCAATGGCAAACACCAAGTTCCTCTTGACTGCTACTTTACTTCCAGCCTTGGTATTCGGCGCAGTCGAATACCAAATTGCAACCAGAGGTTGCAAAGTAGTTCCGGATGGCATAGCTCGATTCTGGGAAGCAGGTAACGTAACATGACCCAAAATGTTTTGTTAAAAAACATTTCTAACAAAAAATGGAACCAGACGGCAACGAGTGTATGTGGGGCGCGGAATATCTGACCACGCCATATACTATAGGCACCGGTAGTCACACTACAACGTATCAAAGTGAGTGTTTCACATTCACATTACATAGTTCTTTTTTTGCGCCCATCGCTAACACTTCTTCTTCTTCAAGGCATTTGCTGTGTCTGGGACAGAGGGGTAGGCGAGTGCTTCTGGAACCAGAAAAAGAACGGGGACATTCACTCCAGAGGCGATTGTGCTACGGATGTTACGACTTGCGCATCAATCACTCGACATCCTGGGAGCGACCATGGTCTGAGTCCTCCTGCACAGGCGCAAGGGACTTGTTAGAGGAAGAAATGGGGGGAGTGGGAGTCTAGGAGTTTCGGGAATGCATGATTATTGGAATTTGTCGACTTGCTCTGCGCTAGAACTATCGGAGGAGAGAAGTGTAGGAGCGGTAAGAAGCAGAGTAGAAAGAAGCATAGGATGATTTTTTTTTTCTAGAACGTCGTGTAGTTAGTCCTAACTGAAATTTTTGGTTGTCTTGATTTTCAAAAGCGATCGAATCCAAATGATTTTTATCCGAGCGGAGCCGGAGCGAAGGAAAGAGGCATAGAACTAAGCTTGCGACGACCTGGATGCGAAGGGGTTGTCTTAGGGTTTAACTTACGAGCTGAGTGGAAGAACGCGCCCATACAAATCCTGCCCTGCCAGTCCTCTAATTGAAAGAAATCAAAAAAGAAGTATTAGCCCGAATACCTAATAACCATGAGAGAGGAGAGAACGGCAAAGCAGGCAGGCAGGGCAAGCACCAAATTCCGACTGTTCTTCCACTCAAGTCTCGCCTGCCTTTACGGTACATGTACTTAATCTCTCTTCGAAGTTCGTACAGTAGTAACGTCAATCCTTCAATTCTCCACCTTTCTTTCGAACCGGAGAGACTCCACGGCGGAAATGCAACTCCAGTCCTCCTCATGACACCTCCACCTCCACCTCCACCTCCTCTTCGGCTAGCAAGAATTAAAAGTCCGCCGATATGATGCAATATGCGGTATCCACCTGCAGAGCTTTAATATCAAGAAAGTACACTAATCAAGTAGAAAAAAAAACTATATATACATATAGCGATCCTGCTGTAAACGAACGAACAAAACAACAAGACAACTTCCTCCTTCTCGCAGAAAAGACAAAGATGAAATCTATACAGTACCTTCCCATAGTTCCCCTCCTTACCTGCACATACACATACGCATACAGCGACCATGCCACCTCCCTCCTCACCCAATCCCTAACCTTCATGGACAACCTCTACGACGCCGACGCGGGTTACCTCTACAACATCTACTACGCCTTGCAGCACGAAACCCGCTCCTCGTCCTGGTACGCAGCAGGCCTCCTCGCACGGAATGAGAACGATGATTGCGAACACGCAAGAAGAATTCTAAACAACATCATCTCGGGCCAATTTTTTAACGCCAGTGAGCAATGGTATGGAGATTACCAAACATATCCCGAACAACCGGATCCGGGAACGGAGGCGTATCCAGCGTCGATATATAATTCTTGGGATCCGAATTGGAGGGGTTTCATTGGGACTGCGATGATTGTGTGTTATGAGGAATTTGGGCATCTTTTGCCTCAAGATCTCAAGGAGAGGATGGTGGAGAGTTTGCATTTGAATGCGATTGGGGATACTTATCGAGTTTATGGGTCTGATGATGAGAATCTTACGCCGGCGTACAGTAATGCTGCGATCATGAAAGCGGCTGTGTCCGGGTGGGTGGGAAGGAAGGTTGGAGATGCTAATATTACAGCTGAAGGAGAGACTTGGGGTCAGGAGATTGTTGATCTTTTCAAGCAGAACGACACGTTGGCTGAGTTCAACAGTCCAACGTATTTTGGTGTGTCCTTGTTCGCGTTGACGCTCTGGGCGAAGTATCTGCCGGCGGATTCGGTCCTTGGATCCAATGCGCCCCGTATGATTCGCGAGACTTGGGACTTTGTCGGCGAGGTGTACAACGCCAACATGAAGAATATTGCTGGGCCGTGGGACAGAAGCTACGGGTTTGATCTGAACCGCTACCTGGCCATCATGTCACTGTGGATCTGGAGCTTTGTTGGCTTTGAGCAGTCACCTCTGTATCCAAAGCCGACGGCGGTGGGACATGTCGATGACTTCGAGATCGGCCCGCTGATAGCCATCATGGCCGACTATCACAAGACCTTTGTCACTGAGAAGGCTCTAAGTGCGCTCACCTCGTTCGGAGATTCTCGTCTTGTTCACCGCACAGCCTTTTCGCCGGCTTTTGATCATGTGCCCAGGAACTATTCGACCTTCATGTCGTCTAAGCTGACCATTGGCGCCCAGAGCTTCTCGGAAAAGGCAGTCGGCGGCCCGTCCATCAACCCAGGCCAGTTCAACCCAGTTGTAGTACAATGGCTTCGGGACGACGGATCTTCCAGGGTTGGATTTGTGACGCTTTGGCCGGAAACGCAGTCTTTGCAGGCTGAGGTAAGAGTCACAAGGCTGTTGGTCGTGCCACTTTTCCACTGACACTTGTTCTGCAGGTTAGTGAGAAGCGGCTGGACCTCACCTACCCATTCGGCAATGATACGAGCAAGTTCGTCTTCCACGTCGATTCGAACGGAATTGTAGGGCCGAAGAATGTAAAATCTTGGAATGACATCGCTGGGCTCAAGGTGAAGGTTTCGGGCACTATCGAGCCGGAGCCGGAGATATCGTTTTGCGGTATCAATGGTGGTTCGTGCGATACGGTGAAGTGAGTCGCGATAAGGCTGATTGTCGTGTTCGCGATGGCGACGCTAACAAGCTCGCAGTGATTTCGATTTATGGAAATTCACGTACACGATGGCACCAGGAAGCACGCAAGTTCCAAACATAGTGCTCGACTTCGAATTGGCATGAGATTTCGTGTAACTTGTCAACGGCAGAATAGATCAACAGTTTGCGTTGTCGAAATTTGGGGTTGCGTTGTCGCCTCCGGTGTCGGGATGACGGTGAGGCAAGACTGCGCGAACGTGATACAGGTACCTGAGTGGCACGCGAGCCGACTGGAGGCGTGAGGGTGGATGGCGCTGTCATTGGCATGCCACGAGAGTCCCAGCGAGATTTTCGCGATATGCAGTGCGAGTTCCTGACCTGCTAGCGGGGATGCAGGGACGATTCGCTCACGTCGATACGTCGATCGGGCGCAGGCATAGTCGGCTGATATGGCACTCAGATCGGCGGTGAGCGGTGTACATGTAGTTGGCGGCAGCCGGGATACCTTGAGTGATGAGTGGAAGCCAAAGTGCGGGCCGAAGGACTCGTGATCGTGGACAAGCCCAGGCAGAGACTGGTGTGGCTGGCAGCCCGGCAGTACCACGCAAGATGTCGATGGACCATGGATGCGGGATAGTGGATAGTGGCATGGTGATGAGCGGTGCAGCCGAGTTCGCACTACGCACTCGCCGCTGCTCTCTGCGCTGCGCTGCGCTGCGGGACGGAGGTAGCGCATGACCTTGGGCGTGAGCGTGCGCGTGCGGAGGAGGTGGCACACGTAAGAATGACCTCCGTATGCGGGGCGGGGCGGGCATTGCGAAGGCATACAGGAGGGAGGGGTCGGCGGGAGGCGGGAGGCGGTCGGCGGGCGGCGTCGGCGGGCGGCGGCCTGCCTGTCACGGCGTCGACGTGCCGGGTGGTGTCTTGTCAATCAGTCGATGGCAGTGGCAGAGACAGAGAAGCGGCACGGCAGCAGCGCGCTAGTCTCCACCTGCCTGGAGAATCTTGCTGTGCTCGTGCCACGCCGTCGAATGGCAGCCGGCCTGATTCGCGCCAGCCTCGCTCGAGTGCTGCTGATAGGCCGCCGGGGCCCTGCGGTGTGCCACTGCCAGCGAGCCAAGTATTCTAGCTTTTCGAACCCGCCCACGCCACGCCACGCCACGCCCGCCTTGCTGATCTGAACTTATTCCACTGCCCATTATTCTCTGCCACCGCGCAAGATTATTCAGACGCTGGACGTGTTGCCTTGTTCAGGTCATGCTTTGTTGCCGACGTTGAACTGGCAGAGTTGAGCTGCGTCCGTGTGTACCCTTCACTCGCTTGCACACTGCACAGAGCGCCTGCTGGCGTGGACATGGCCGACGCATCTCGCTTGCCTTTCCCCTCGCCTTCTGTCATCCTGGGCCAAGCACACGACACCGCTTCCTCAGACGAACCCGCCGTGCCCCCCGAGCCTCCTCCGCCTCGACCCAAGAAGCACGCAAAGCGCCCGAGCAACAGCGGCAAGGAGAACACCAAACGAGCTGCCGCCAAAAAGGGCCCTTCGGTAGACGAGAAGAATGCCGCTGGCGATGGCGATGCGAAGGATGCCACCCAGCAGGTCAAGCCGAAGCAGACCAAGAGCCGTAATGGTACTACTTGACCACACACACATACACCACGACAGATTGCTTTTGATTAAGTTTGTTTGATTACTTGCTTAGCACACGTTTGCAGACTTGCTTGCGATGAGTTACTGATGGACGAGTTTGCCAGGTTGTGCCACCTGCAAGTTGAAGCGGCTGAAGTGCGGCGAAGAGAAGCCTGGGTGTCTGCAATGCGCGAAGAGAAACATAGTCTGCGGCGGATACAAGAAGACCTTCCAGTGGAGAGAATTTCCGAATGGCCAAGTCAAAATCAACCTGGACAAAGGAAAGCAAGGTGCGTGATGCTGATGCTGATGCTGGCTGGCAGTTCACCTGCGCAAACTGGTTGCTTGGCTTGGCACTCTTGCTGACTCTCGCAGCAACTGCCAATGCGCCCCCGTCGCCCATACGAGCCTTTCCATCTGCCGCGACCTCACCCGTTGCAGAAATGCCACCTGCGATTGGAACTACTGACGCACAGCACGGCCCCAGGAACAAGGCCACGCCACCACCGACCTTCACCCCGAAGCAGGCCAAGCCAGGTGGGAAGGCCAATGTCCAGGCAGGCCTCTCTGCTTCGGATTCGCCGCTGGGCCAACAGCATGGGCGGCAGGACAGCAAGAACCCATCGTCAGACGCTCATCATTCCGATCTTATGGACAACTTACCCGACATGACGCCTTCAAGCCGCGCCATCTTCAATCCGGACATACAATTCACACATCGCACTCGCTCCTTCGCCCCCGCTAACGGCAACGGCGCATCGCCATCGCTCACCCAATACTTGCAAGATGATCTGTCTCAGAATCTTCCTGATGACCACGCTGTCGCCCAGGACTTTGTGTCCTTCTCCATGCCGCAGGACCTTGACTTTCCCTACCTCACTAGTGGCCAAGACCCCGAGCTCGATGAAACCGTCTTTCCTGACCTGATCGGCCCTATATCAGCGAGCGATTTCTCTTCTCTGCAATGGCCATCGCAATTCACCAGTCCGGACTCGCCCTTCGCAATGACAACGCCCGAGGACATGCCCGATTTCTGGAACAGTCTCTCACCGTCATTCTTTCAACAACCTGGCCATCCCCTCCAAAGCGTGGAATTCCTTTGGGACCATTTCGACAAGATGACGTGCGGTATTCTTTCCGTCATGGACGGCCGAGATGAAAATCCGTGGCGAACGCTGGTGTTACCTCTGGCAGACCACTCTGCGGGTCTTCGACACGCTCTCCTATCAATGTCTGCTTTCCATGCGGCTGCAGACCATCCACAACTGAAGGTGGTAGGGGGCGAGCACAAAGCGACCAGTATCCGGCACATCTCGGACGGCATGAGATACGACAGCATGGGTATACAAACACAGATTGCCACGGCTTTAGCCCTGACTTTTGCAGAATCATGGGATCAGCACATTACTACTGGAGTTATGCACATCAAAGGCGCGGCCGCTTTTGTCAAAAATGCGTTGGAGCACCATAGACGAAACCCTATGATCGGCGTGGACTTGCTGCGATTGAAATTTCTCTGCAATGCTTGGGTGTACATGGATGTTATTTCGCGTCTGACGGGCGTGGACTGCGACGAGAAGACTGACTTCCAGACTTCTTTGTGGACAACGGAGGTGCCGGGCAACGAAGAGCCTGGCTACGGACTCAAGTTCGACAACATTGGCATTGACGCTTGTTTGGATCCCCTGATGGGCTGCGCGAGCACCCTTTTCCCTACCATCGGAAATGTCGCGAACCTCGTTCGCCGTGCTTGCAGATCTCAGAGAAGTTCTCCAAGCATCATCAGCACCGCGAGAGACCTGATGGCAGAGCTGGAAGAGTGGAACACGCCGGCTTACATTCAACGCCCTCAGGATCCAGCCACGAACGTCCAGCATGCGCTTCAGACTGCTGAAGCGTATCGCTATGCAACGATGCTTCATCTGCATCAAGCAGTACCCGAGCTACCAACGAGTTCCGGCGACCCAGACGAGAACTATGCTCAGCGGGTGTTGCAGTATCTCGCTACTGTGCCGCTGACAAGTAGAATGCTCAACGTGCACATCTACCCACTGATGGTGGCTGGATGCATGGCTTCCGAAGCTGAAGATCGAGATTGGGTACGTGGCCGGTGGGATGTGATGCGAAAACGCATGCGCATTGGTGTCATCGACAAGTGCCTGGCGGTGACCGAAGAGGTCTGGCGTCGTAAGGATGATTACGAGGCCAGATCACCCAGGCAGCGAAATCTTGTGGTGACGGCCGATCTAAGTCCTGGCCGTCAAAGAACTAAAGCACAGCCAGAGAAGACAGGGTCTAATTCGCCGGAGCCAGGCCGCGCCGGAATGGTCTTTACACTCGCCAACCCGAACGAGAAGGGAAGGAATTTCTCGAATGGCAATTTCGATGTCGCATACTCTGTTCGAGGCCATCTTCATTGGGTTGGCGTAATGTGGGACTGGGGCATCGAGCCTCTGCTGGGATAGCGTTGAGGGTGTAAGTTGTCTCCTTGACGAGACGCAATGTTGATGGATCTCAAGCTGAATCTGTCACAGCAGTCTTTCCATTTTTACTGAATAGATGCGTTTGGGGAACGGCATGACGGCGTCAGTGTACTGCTGCTTATTATGCATTGCGACCGGAGGGGGGCTGTGATGATTGAACGACGGGAGTCTCTGCGTGCTTTCAGCGCTGTTCAGTGTTCATGCGGCTTAGAATTTCCGTCTGCTTTCGCGAAAACTTTTTGACGAGCGTTCAGCGAGTAACGTTACGGCGCTTTGGGGGGGGGGGGGGGGGGTCATTTGCGGACAACCGGTTAAGTCCCAGGGGAATTGGGCGATTTTCGATGATAATTCGATTCTTCTGGGCGGCGGCGCGGGTTGGTGCTGGCTAATTATTGATGCATTTCCGGCAGTTGACTTGAGTCGATCATAGAAGGAAGGCATGGGTTTGACAAGCTAATTGAGCGCGGCAGAATGCTATTCGTTTTCGTTTTTTCACGGCGGCGAAGCATTGAAAGGAAAGCGCAATGCAGTCTTTGGGCTAGGCTATCTTTATGAAGTATCAAGCTGCCCTATCTATCTCTCGCAAGATATGGATCTCTCTCTATTAGGTTTTCGACGCGTACCTCGTTCGTCGGCGGTCGCCCTTACTGGATGCCCCCAAACTGGTGGGGGTTTCCTGGGTTAAAATCGATCGAAGAATGTTTATCGAGCCCGTCGTCTATGCAGCTTCATCTGAGGAGTTGATAAATTATGGAGATGGAGATGGAGATGCCCACGCAGCCATCCTGGAAGGAAGGAGCAATCTTGTTCCCAAACCAACATCATTAATCACGCCAACGCGACAATGACCATGTCCATGTTCATGTGCAAAATTCAACAATGGATCTTGCGCAAATTCATGAAAGGGTCGTAGGCTGGGCCAAACCAGATATGTACTAGAAGTCGAGCGACACAACATGCATGCGATCCCGAGATTTGCCAGCCTGATTCTAAAGACTCGACGCTCCATATTTCCGCTGTAATGACTACTTCACAACACAAAGCATGAACCCATCATAATTCTTCTCGCCCACAGTCTGAACCACAGTACTCCGAAGCCGTGGATGAGCGCCAGCAGCCTCAATAACCTTTCGCGACCCAGCAATTCTCTCATCCACTCTAGCCACCTCCTCACTAGCAACATTCCCCCTCCGAACAACATTATCAACCACAATCACCGCACGCGATCGACACATCTGCACAGCCTCGTTCAGATAATTGACATTATTCTGCTTGTCAGCATCAATAAACACAAAGTCGAAAAGAGGCCGAGTCCCAGCTTCAACCTCTTTCCGAATCTTTGGAAGAATTTCCATCCCAGGTCCGAGAAGAATTTCAACTCTCTCGCTCAAACCCGCGTGCGATATTGCTTTCTCTGCTGTCGCTTTGTTCTTGGCCTCGACTTCCACGCTCGTCACTTTGACCTCGGGACCTGCTGATGCTAGCCAGATGGCACTGTAGCCGCCCAGAGTCCCGACTTCCAAGACATTTTTCGCGTCGAGAATCATGCATTGCAGAGACAGGAATTTTCCTTGCAGGGTGGAAACTGCTATGTCTGGTAATCCTTCTTGCTTCTGGTTCTCGAGGGCGAAGTTTAGAGCTTCGTGGTAAGGCGAGTCTTTGGCTGTGATGAGATGTTCTTTCACGTAGTGATCTACTGCTGTCCAAATCTCGTTCGTCTCTTCGGGTTGTGGGATGTAGGGTTGAGACATGATGAAGTCGGAATCACACAATGCTCTTATGCCGAGACTGCAGCCGTATCCGTACAGAATGGAAGCACGGTGTCGGGAACTTTCCCAGATCAAGGATGGCGGCTGGGGTTGCAGGTGCGGAGACGGTATGACGATGGGACAGGTGATGATTGCGCTGCGCTCTTGTGACGAGAATAGCCGAAGCAGCGAGAGGCAGCAGGCTTACACGCAGAGCAGACAAATAGTTATGTATGCTTGTCTTCTGCTCCGCCATCGCTGTCGTCGCTTTCGCAATCTCGCAGTAGAACCTGGACAGCATTGAACTTTGGACTCAAACCTCGTACGAGCTTCGCGGACTCATCTCCACGCGTTTGATACCAGCTCCAACAATATGTCATCGGATTCTTTGGCATTATTTCGAAAAGGTCTAGGCCCAGACCTCAACGCCCTCGCAGACAAACACATACAACATGAGTACGGCAAGACAGCCAAATCCGACCGGGAGGAAAAATCGCTGACAACCCACATCTGTCTTCTAGTCTCCAACAATCCGACCGAGACGCCCTCCGCAAAGCCGCCAACACCGTAAAAATGCACACAACAATCGGCTCCATCGTAGGCCTCTCCCTCGGTGTCTTACTAGCCTTCAGAATCCGCAGCAGCCGACAAAGTCTCTACCGCGCATTCCGAACCGCCGAGAAGCCCCAAGCCGTCCGCTTCGCCGACGGACGAGAAGAGGCGCTCCCAGATCTTTCCGGGGTCGTGAAACCCAGTCGGATAGGAGATTTGGCGACATATACGCTTTTGGGAGCAGGCGGGATTTTTTTCGGTGGGGAGACGGGACTTGTGACGGGTTCTTTTCGCGCGAGGAGTATGATTACGCAGGATCGGGAGAGCTCGACGAGGATTCAGAATGCGTTTAAGAGGTTTCAGGCGGATGCTTTGAGGGAGCAGGCGAATGTTTTGGAACAGAGTATACAGTGAGGTTAGTAGGAGATGGGGTGGAATGAGACCAACAAGCTTGCAAGCTCGCGGCTGCATGTGCAAAACACCAGCGGATTTTGTGTTCGAAGATACCTTGGGCAGAAGGTAGCAAATCTTGCGAAGAATGCTCGAGATCCTCAGCATGGGTGATGGAAAACTCGATTCCTGGTCATGCTCATTCAATTCTCTGCCTCAATAACTGTACAGTATACCCAGTCCTTCATTTTTGCAAGATCGAATCGCTCCATAAAATTAAAAAGCACTTTCATGCTATTCTACCAAGCTACAACTTGGCAGCAGGAAGCTTCTCGCCCGCATTTGTGATCTCGTTGTACAAAAGTCTGTGATGCATGGGTTAGCATGGACGTAGGGAAGTGGTATGGGTGTTATCGGGTGCGAAACTTACGATGTCAAGAACTCCGCATATTCCTCGCCAGTCACTTGAGTGGCGAAGTACTTGGCAGCAAGTTGGTACTTGTTACCCTTTGGCGCATTCTTCTCGAGTTCTGCTGCTTGCTCGTACAAGAGCTTGAGAGCGTACTGCTTGTCAAGCTTCTTGCCTTCTTGAGTCATGGCACCATGTCGACACCATTGCCAGAGCTGTGATCGGGATACTTCAGCCGTAGCAGCGTCCTCCATGAGGTAATTGATTGGCACGCAACCAACACCACGAAGCCAACCCTCCATGTAGCCGAGGCCGATGTTCAGGTTCTTCCTGATGCCGTCCTCGGTGATGACACCTGGAACATTCATGTTGAGGAGATCGTTGGCGTTGACTTGGACATCCTCTCTTCGGACGTGGAACTGGTTGGGGGTTGGCATGTGCTCGTTGAAGACCTCGCCAGCGATCACGGCAAGAGCTGGGTGGGCAACCCAGGTACCGTCGTGGCCAGCTCGCACCTCACGCAATTTGTCGGCACGGACGCCGTCCATGGCCTTCTTGTTCGCCTCCTCATCGTTCTTGATTGGGATCTGAGCAGCCATACCACCCATGGCATGGACTTGACGACGATGGCAGGTCTTGATGAGAAGCTTGACGTACGCGTCCATGAATGGAACAGTCATGGTCACAGCCGATCGATCAGGAAGTACGAATTGGCTGTTTTGACGGAAACGCTTGATGACGGAGAAGATATAGTCCCAACGACCGCAGTTGAGGCCGGCAGAGTGATCGCGGAGCTCATAAATGATCTGGACGACGTCAGTGCTAATCTTATTCTACCAGGAATTCGACCTACCTCGTCCATCTCGAAAGCAGCGGGAATGGTCTCGATCAGCACCGTTCCACGGATAGTGCCTCTCGGCATTGCGATGTAGTCCTGAGCAAGGTTGAAGACATCGTTCCAAAGACGAGCCTCGAGATGGCTCTCCATCTTCGGGAGGTAGAAGTATGGACCAGTTCCGCGCTTGACAAGCTCAAAGGCGTTGTTGAAGAAGTACAGACCAAAATCGAAGAGCGAGGCAGAGATCGGCTCGCCATCCACGGTGAAGTGCTTCTCCTCGAGATGCCAGCCACGGGAACGGGCGATCAATGTGGGAAGGGTGCGGTCAGTTCGGAGCTTATACTCCTTCTCACCAAGCTTGAAATCGATCTGCTTGCGAATCGCATCGTAAAGGTTCACCTGGCCGTTGATCATATTGTCCCAGGTAGGAGAGCTAGCGTCTATACGAAGGTCAGCCAAAACACGACATATCCATCCGCTTCCACCCACCTTCGAAATCCGCCATGTATGTCCAGACGTCGGCATTCAATGCGTTGACAACCATCTTCCTGTCGACTGGACCGGTAATCTCCAATCTGCGGTCAACAAGACCAGGCGCTGGCTTTGCGCCTCTCCACGCATCATTCTCGCGGATGTGTCTGGTCTCTGGGAGGAAATCAAGCTGAGTGCCCTTGTCAAGCTCTTGCTGGCGGATCTGGCGTCTCTCGAGGAGAGCCTTTCGTCTGGCGTTGAACGTGCGGTGGAGGACAGCGAGGAAGATGGTGGCTTCCTTGGACAGGATTCGCCGTCTCTGATCGTCTAGTCTTCCGAGGATGTTAACATCCTTCAGAATCTGCTCGGTATTCACTGGAGTAGGCATGGTGGTTATTCTTCCTCGAGATACCCGAAGAGGTCAATGAACAATCAATGGAGGAAGAGGAAACTGTGAGGTAACTTGACCAGCCGTTGGCTAAGAGAATGTGGCACTCTTGATATATACGTCACTTGCCCAAAGCTGTCTGTTCACTTCACGGCTACCGAGGACAATAATGGTACAGACCGTCTTCCGCCGTCATCGTCCCGCATCCGCACGCTCCCTGCCAGCTCGGCTTAGAGGAGGGTAGTCTGAGCTCACATGTTTGTGGAGCAAAACTGGGCCGAGACCAATGAGATGTCGAACCCCAACCTTAATCACATGTAATGTCGTTCGTTCGCGTTCGTTCGACCAAACATTCCAATTTGTTTCCCTTGCGGAAAGGGTAGAGCGGCGTGTTGCTCCCATCAAATAATTGCTGAGATGAGCCCGATGCCGCGTGTTGAGCTTTCTGGGCCTCGTCGGAAACATATGTAGTCTGCCTCGACCCTCCGACGTAACCGCACTTGCCGCCATATCGAATGAGAAGCTGTCTTGGCTCCAATACCACACCACTTGTGTACCTGGATCGTCCAAATATGTTGATAGCATCCAGGAACACCTTTTCTGGCAGTGTCCTCCATTGGAACCGGTGGTGGTGGTCCTTGATCGGCATTGAGACCGCGCTGCCCGTGCCAGCCGACAAAGATCAACTCAGTCCCATCACATTCTTTTAACCAGATCTACTATCATCTAAAGACCATTAACACACTCGCTGAGCCTCAGGAACCAAAGCCATAGCGCGATAGAACTATCGACTTTGAGTACGACTACCAGCAAGTCAACCACCCGAAGAATTCTCGACGACCTCGGATGACTTTGAGGATTGATATTTCACTCTTGCCTGCTGAAACGATCAGGATCCCTATTACTATGAGCATCATTATAGTAGCCGCAGTTCGAAAATCTAAGGCGATAAGGTGCGAAGAGTTGAGCAGGAATCGAATACCAGTCTTCTTGCAAAGCAACTTGACGACTTCAGCAACAAGTGCTCGAACGTTTTCCGCAAGAAATCAGCCTAGCAGGACTTGAAGAAGTGATATAACATCTCCTTCTGCGTCCTATTAGGCACGGCGGTAAAGATGAAAACTCTTCTACACGATGTAGATGTAGCCCAACAATACATACAACAATATATACATTATGAAAACAAGGCTGAATTGACGAACTATACTAGCTCTAACTGCGGGCCAGAAATATGCATGCCATCCTGAAATTCTGTTTGAACGATAAGCTGAAACTATGTCTGCGAATCTACGAACGAAGCACGCTACAGCCACGCGTATTATAGAATGGCGTCCAAATCGAATTCTCTAGGCCGGGCTTGTAAGATGTCTCAACTCTCTAGGGGACTAGAGGTATATATACCTTCTGACCCTCTAGAAGATGTAGCTCTACGTTCGTCGGACGCTATAGCGTAGTGCTTCTTTCGTATCTTAGGCAGTGAGCGCTAGGAAAAATAAAGTATAACTTCGAACAAACTGTCGAGTCTAATAGTCTCTAATGCCTATCTCTTAATCGATTATTTTAGCGGTAATTATAATTCTATTGCACTAATGTAACGTAACGTATCTCGTATACCGAGTCTTATAAAAGTAGCCTCTCGTATCTAGTTCCAGTTCCCTTCTAGAATAACGGTTCCTCTTCCGCCGTTCTATTCCTAGAAGATTATAAGTGTGCAATGATAACACCAGACAGAAAAAACAGTCTATGCAAGTTTCTAGATAATGCATAGCAAAAACGCCATTCTCATCATACATATGTAGCCCAGTATCAGGGCAAAATTTGGCCAAAGTCCGTTCCATCTCATATACCTACTACTTCTTTCTGTACACCCAAGCATGGTCTAAGAGCGATTTCCGCTATAAAGTATCTTGACCTTCAATTTCAGCTGCCCAAAGTCTAAGCGAGTGACAACGAGCTCGTTCTCAAATTCAGCAGTGTTCCCGTCCTTCTCCAAGTATCGCAAGGAAGACGAGAGACAAGGAAGGTTATAGAAGACAGTTAGGAAGGTGAATTCACCCAGAAGCTAAGCGGTCGTAGTTAGCTGCCCTGGAAGGAAGATGAGATTCTTGATCGTGCTTCCTTCTATAGCTGCAAATGTGGAAGCAATTAGAGAGAGAGAGAGATGCTTGAAAAGGCCTAAGGTCTTGGGGGCTGTGCAAGGGGATGTATTCTCCCCTTTTTTTTCTTTTTACTTATATGCTTGCTGTAAAGATGATTCTGGTAGCCGTGTCATGCAGAAGGAATCAAACCAAATCAATCAAGAAGCCAGAGCTCTCTTAGGAGAAGGTCGGTTGGTTTATGGGGAAAAGTTCACGTAGAAGCAGGATGTATGTACAGGGTGATGTAGATGTTTCTGACTATTGGTTGATCGTCACGCTCGGATTGGAGTCTTTTGTTCAAGCTGATGATCGAATTCTGATATCTACCGTGCTTGGTCTTTCAGCGATGCAAAAGAATATAGTTCATGTTCAGGACCCAGATTCCGCGCCAGATTCCTGCCAGTCTTCACACGCCCCTGCCCAGCATCAAGTAGTAGTGGCAAACAAAGTGGTCGGCAACGTGGCGATACTAGTTGAAGGCTTGCATCGAGTATGCAAACGTCAACTCAGAGTACAGAATTCCAGTAGACGGCTTCTGCGGAGTGCGAGGAAAGGCAAACTGGTTTCGTGACTCCATGGGACGGCTGCATAGCAGAACTCCGCAGAAGGTTTGCAAGAGTACTTGAACACGGTTGTTGATGTGGCCTTCGTCGCCACATGATATTGTAGCCATAGACCGCCCGACAAGATTCTTCTTTTTCTATCAAGTCTTTCTGAAAGATCTCCGCGATTACAGTTCTACTTCGTCAAATTTTCCATCTTCTGCAGGAGATTGAGGTGCCTTGCTTGCGCTTGGTCCAGGTTCATCGTCAGACTCTTCGTCACGGCTCTTGGCTTTCTCTGGCTCTTCCGCTTCGTGATCTTCCTCTTCCGAGTCGTCTGAGTCCGTTTCATCCACCGGCTTGGCTGAGGTGAAGTTCCCTTGGGCGTCCTGCTCTGCATCAGGATCCTCAGGAGACTTGAGCGGCGGCTGAGGTGCGCTCTGAGCGGCGACAGTCGCAGCTGCACCGCTCTCTTCGCCACGAGAGTGGGTGGGTCGCTCTGGAGTAGGCGGCGTATGCTCAATCCGAGGACTGTCCCGCATTGGCACGTTCGCGCTCGAGACACTACCTCGCTGCTGGTGCGTGCTAGGCCCCATTTGCCGAAGTTTGGGATCGGCATCCAAGTAGTATCCTCGAACACCCACAATCCTGCCTTCCCGCTCGCAACCTTTGACCCAGTCGGGCACCACTACGGGCACATTCATCTCGACTGCTTTCTCCCACGCCTGCCCGCGGGGTTCAGTACACACAAAGTGCGTGGTATCGATGCGCACAGTATCTATCATCTTCGCACCAATCTTGTTTACTGTCTCAGCCAAACTCTCCTTAAGTTGGCCGGGCATTATGCCTGGTGTTATCGTGATCCCATGTAGGTCCGTCATTTTGTGCGTCTTGATCGCAACCTTCTCGGAGCTGTACTGCCCTGCGCTGGTACGTAACACCAGGTGAAAGGTGTACTCAGTGTCCAGCGCAAGTCCACTGATCTTGGTGCTCATCTTGTCTCGTGGAATATTGCCGGCCTTGGTGCCATTGCGATACAGACTGAGACTGCGGAATTCCGCTGTGGCAAGATCGACTGGATCCCATTCCAGCACTATGCTCGTCTGCGTGGCATTGCGACAGCGAAGAACTGGTGGTGATGGCGATTTCGACCCAAATGTAGCGAAGATCTCGGACTGGAGTGCTGAGAATTTTTGGTCGGCGATTGATTCCGCCTCTTGATTTCTTGCGACATTGATATCGACGATGCTGCCAGACTGGATATCGGATGGGAGGAGAATCGACGGGAATTCGATCTGCAGTCAGAGCGCGTGAGTATAACCGCTGGCCGGATCATCTCATTGGCCTTCTCTGCTCACCAGACGTTTGTCCTCTGTCAGGAGCACCGCCACTCCAGCATCGACTTTCCCTACCGTAAGCGACACCAACATCTTGCTTCGTGTTGTGAGAGCTTACAATAATGCAAAGTCAATGGCGACCTACATTCGATTTCACGAGAACGCGGTTGGCTTGCGGAGAGGACCTGCCTCCGAGCCAATGAACAGTTGCAGAGCACAGCTTTCACATGCTTGGTGCTGATCATGGAACAAGTCCAGCTCTCTTCGCTATATGTCTAATTGCAATACAAGCGCGAATAGCACATCCTCCCTCCCTTCGCTGCAATATTTAACTAATGCCTTGCAGTTCTCTTCAACGCCTCCACTAGCGGTTGACCATATTGCTTTCTCAACATGATGCTGCCCCGACACAACTTCTTCAGCTCTACTCGTTCCACTAGAGCCACGTGTGATATCTTCATGAGTAAGCCATGGTAGCCGATAGTCCAAGGTTGAGTTTCATAACAGCAACCCAAAGCGAATAATCCGATCACTAGTTCGACTCTCGAATGTAGGAAACCCCAGATGCGAGTGCCGAAGCAGTATTAGTCAGATACGTCTGAGACTATAGCTCTTTGCTCAATAAAGGAATCCCTTGCCCACATAAATATGTGAACATCCGCCCTCACAGCGCAAACCTTCCAAGGTCTAGTAGTCGAGCAATGCCTTTATTCTTCACCAACCCGTGTCAAGAAAAGTGCAAAGATAAAGCCGAATTCGAAGAGCATTCCTTTAAGCTAGTGGAATGCTGCACTTACACCCAGTCGCGGTCGAAGCCAAAGTATCTTATAATCGCGGGCGAAAACTTCGGGTCGTCAAGTGGATGCTACGTATCTCGCTGCAGTCGCATGATGTGCATTAAGCACTCGTACTTTACGCCCTCTAACCTATTCATATTCACTCTATGCTCTTTACACTCTCTGAATTGAGGCGTATTATCCGGAAGTCGATCGTGTTTTCGAGGGTACGGAGAGGAGGTTCTGATTCATCGGCGACCTGGATATTCGAGCTTCGGTACAGTTTCAAGGCTGTTGTCGTATCGCGGAAGATTCCTGTTGTGTGGACATAGCGAAAGTCGGTCCCGTGTGATAGTGTGTTGTGTCAAATACTGTTATGCATGACAAGCACATTCGATGAACTCCGGTAGAATAAGGGGACGTTGCAGTGGCTATACATGGAGAGGAAGCGGACCTGAGGCCGAACGATGTAACAAAGAAAGCCAAGAGGTTGCATTCCGATCGACAGGCACCGACAACTTCACGTTTATTCTTCTTCTCTTGCAATCTATTTCTCCTCACTCACTCTTATGTGCTGGACAACGGCTACCTATATGTTAAGTTCAAAACCCACTGACGTCGAAGCTGGCGTCGGGCGTTCTGCAAGATGGCGCCTTGAACACACACCTTCGCGAAGTGGCTGCTACGGGAACCACTGTCTTGTTCACTTCTATATTTTTTGTCCTGCTAACTTTGCTAGTTAGTGGCAGTGAGCCACCCTCTGACCTCGTCAACCTATTCATTTGAAGGGACTCAAGATGTCTAAAAATGCAAAGCTGAGCTGATGAGTGCGACGTGGTCACCGGCCTTCGCCCCGGCGTCTCTCGGATTCTGTTCTCAAACTATCGCAATCATCCGAGGCTCCTGCCACTTCTGATCGTCAAGTTGCTAGATAATATTCTCCGGTTCTATCCCTAGCCGGGGAGAATATCATGCCGAGGCGCTTAAGAGGTTTGCAGCATGAAGCTGCGTTGCCTCGGATCGCACGACCCATCGCGATGAATCCCAAGCAAGACCGGGCATTCTGGAAACACGAACGTGATCGCACGAGGTCACTCATGACTTTCGCGTCCGAATGCGGTCGATGTATGAGCTGGTCCGGGACCACTACACTTCTCTTCTGCACCTGATGAGGGGCAAGCCTTCATCTCGGCTCGTAGCTGGTTCCACTCATGGAGCAAGATGTGCCATGAGATATCACGCCATGAGTGACTAAGCATGTCAAGGAGTGCATACTCCCTTGAGCTGGCTTTGGGCGGCACTTATCTCGACATGAAGCGGCACCGGAAGGGTATCGCAACGGCGAGAGGAGTTTGGCGGTACCAGATGCACGTGGCTATTATCCTCGCGCTGCAACGAGTCAGATGAGCAGAGGCAGAGCGTCATCAGGTTGTGTCGCGAATTTTGGGAAGAGGGGAAGATTAATGTGAAAGCCTACCGGCCACGCCGTCTGCAGGCGCTCATTTTGGGTGTTTAGGTTGAGCGCTGGGCTTGAAGCTGGCGTGGCAGTTGCTGCTCAGAGTGCGTTTACCTCGCCGCCGGTGGATCGGTAGAATAACGATACCTTAAAAGATGCTACCGGTTTTCATTCTTCTTCTTAACCGCTTTTTAAGGTAAACAAATCGGTAGATAACTCGGTGGTAATAATACAGGCTTATATAGCACTATATTCGAGGTCGCGTGCTATCTACCGAAAACGCGCTTTTAAACCGGGTTTTTAGTAGACGCTTATACCTACCTAATATAGCATACCGCGCTCGGACGACGCTATAGTAATTAATTACAATCTACCGACTATATCTACCTAAATAGTATATAAACAACTTAGTAGAAAAGCGGTAGAAAATAAGAGGTAGAATAATCGGTAGATTAGCCTATATAAACGATATCTACTAGCGGCGAGGTAAACGTACTCTTAAGATAGAATAACAGAATAGTAGCGTAGAATGTGCCGGCTCTAAACTAGATGTTCGATTTTAGATTCTATCTGCGAGGTAGACGAATAGCTATTTATAATTGTCCCTAGATTTTAGCGTACTACTCTATAGGCTAGCGCTACTAAACCTTATAGGCGTACGCCCGATAGTAGGTATAACCGATTCTAGGTAATTACAGCCTTAGCTAAGGTAACGATTAGGGTTAAGAAGGAGGGTATTCTTAGCGCTATAGACTATCTAATTAGTCGACTAAATAGATAGAGGTTAACTATAATATTAATAAGTATTATATTACTAGCACTATAGGCCTATATATAGTCGCTACCGCTGCCGCTATCGCTGTCTCGCTACCGCTGTCGCTGTCGCTATCTCGCTACCGCTATCGCTATCGCTATCGTTCTATACTAGTCTCTTCTTACTACTTTAATATTAATTAGAAGTCCTTCTCTTACCCTATATCTTACGTATAGCGTCGTCGTTGTCTATCTAGTTAAATTAAGAGGCTACTAATGCCTCTAATCTAAGGTCTATAATACGTAACGGCTGCTAGAGTATTATAAGGTCGATAACTAGTATATCGCCTATTAAATCTACCTCTTTAATAGAGCCTATATCGAGAGGCTAAGCCGACTGTATATTTAACTATATATCGCGGCTGCGATTAACGCGCTTCTTCGAAGGTAATAGTCGGAAGGGTATTAACTAAGCGGGTAATACAAATAAGGCCGCTAGAACGCGTAAAAGTAAGGCCGCTACGCGTCTATTCGGCACTATATTAGGCGCCGCTTAGAAGGTTATTAATCGAGTTAGAGTCGTCGGCTGCGCTAGAAGGTATAAAGTCTACTACCTCTGCCTTAGCCGTTTACCTATAAAAGTAACCTTAGGCGCGCCGCTCTCGTAGTAGTTAGTAATCGAGTAGTTAGTAAGGCTATATAGCGTATCCTTAACTTTGCGAAGGAAGCCGCGTATATAGCCGTCTCGTACTACTAGATTAACTGTCTTATCGTCGCGAATACGATAGAAGTATTAAGAAAGGCCTTCGGCGGCCTCGTTATAGTACGACCTTAAATTATAAAGATATAGGTCTCCTATAGTCTATAGCTTCCGCGTGTCTTCGTAGCCTTCTAGCTATAATTAATCGCTGTCTTTATCTATCTAGTATTATGCAACCTTTATAGAATTATAGCCTATATATAGGTTAATATACGCCTATTGCTAATAAACCGTAAAGGGCGTAATAAACAGGTAGAACCTAAGTATATAATAGTAGGGGAGGTAGTATTAAAACTATAGAAGGCAATTATAATAGGCAGGTTGTCTATTATTATATATTACTATTCTAGGGTATATAGGCAGTCCTTTTGCCTTATATTTATCTATAATAGCTAGTTGCCTTCTAATATAATCCTATACCGCTAGAGGCTATAGCTTCTCGAAGAGGGCTATCTATTTAATTTTCTAGTACTACGTAGATTTGCCGACCTATTTAAGCTATTATTGCGCCTTCTACTATTAACGGCCGTTAATAGTAATTAGCGTTACTATAGTGCTATATATAGAAAGCTAGACGAGGTTCTTCTTGTCGTTATATTTAATAGCGTTATAATAGCCTTCTAGGGGCGAAGTCGTCTGTATTTGCATTAGAAGTAGGTTACTTAGCCTCGCCTAGGTTGCCTATAAATAGGACTTCTTACGCTAGTTATTATTAAGGTATTTAATCTGCTTGTCTAACGCGCTAGAGGCCTATAGAGAGACTGCTATAGCGTCGATTATATCTATAACCTCTTAATTACTACGAGCGTAATATATAGCGTAAGAAAACAGCCGCTACGCCTATAGATATTTGCTTTTAGGGAAGTGCCGTAGGAAGGTCTCCTTCGTATACCTTTAATAGAGGTATATAGTAATCGAATAGTTATTAAATGCAAGCCTTACCGTACGCTATTCTTATATAGAGTCGTCTATAATAGCGAATAGCGGGTTCTATATAGGTGCCTACTTCTTAATAATTCGAAGCCCGGCTTTAATTAGCTTTGCACGCTAAGACTATAGTAATAAGTGTCTAGCCGGCATCTAGGACTTAAAAGCGTTACGGACGTGTATTATAAAGAGGTAGAAACGATAGTCGCTAGTACCGTATATCGCATTAAAGAGAAATAGCTAAGAAGGTAGTTATTAGTATAAGAAGGGTATGTTAGTAGGTAGATAGGGTAGTAGTAGGTACGAGTAGTATTCGATAAGGAGCTAGAAGGGGAGGGAGGAAGGCAGGCAAGTTAGCCTACTGCTAAGCGCCAAGCCCTGCCTAAGGCATCGAGACCCTAGCTTTACTCGAGCCCGGTTATATACTAATTACGTGTAACCTCTTTAGTCCTAATATACGCTTCCCTTCTAAAGGCCGCGCCCTCGTAGCCGGTCTTTGTTCTAGCCTTAACCTCTATTACTGCTAACTTAGCAGGTCTAATAAGTCGCTTAGTCCGCGCTAAATCGAACGCATAACTACCGATTATGTAACTATATCAAACTTTACCTCTAAACAACACAATGTACAACTCTAACTGCGCTATCTCTATATATAATAAACTATAAAGTAATATATATCTATAAGAATTAAGGGCTATCGACTAATTATAATACGAGCGCGTCTTCCCTACTATAATAGGTAGACGTACGAGGTATTGCAGCACTGCCTCCGTTCTAAGTAATGTCGTACGAGTTCTTTGCGTCTACTCTAATAGACCTAGAAATGTCCGCTCCGAGGGTTTGTCCGTTCCGAGGGTTGTTCTTATTATTACGAGGGCTATTATTTACTATCGTAGTTTCGCTAGCCCAAATTAGTTAGGTTTAGTAGCCTTTAAGTATTAACTAATTATATCTTTTTAAAAAACTTAGTTCTTCTAGTTTCTATAGGTAAAGGCTATTGTAAGTATAGTAGTAGAGGTTCGCCTCGCTTAAAGGATCGGAAAGATTAAGGAGTAACCTATTATCCGCAAGATCGACCCCGGCTAGCTTAGCTCTATAGTTTTGCCCTTAGTTAGTCTATTAGTCGCTTAATCTTTTAACTTAGTCAAAGTTTTGACTTAGCCTTAAAGTTTTAATTAAACCTTTAATAGGCTTAAGGCTTTAATCAAAGTTTTGATTAAGGGTGCCTTAGGCTCGTAGTATAGGTAAGGTTGTGTCTGTAGGCGTAGCAATAATAGCAAGTAATGTTAACAATAATAGCGCTAGTCGTCTTAGCGCCAACTTTACCTTGCTTTCGATTTCCTTCTTTGACTAATAACACACTCCGCAACACTATTACTAATATAGTCGCGCCGGCTATATCGTCTTCGCCGATTGCCTAGGCCTCGAGGCCTTAATAGAATAAGGGAACAAGAGGGGGACCTATAGGGCGCGTTAGTAAAGAGGTAGAGTCCTTAAAAGAGCATGCGATTAATTAATAGACGCGTCGTAGCGCGCCTAGTATAGTCTTATTGTCCTAGTTTGCTAGCCTCTAATTAGTTAGCTAATAGCACCCCGGGGGTAGTATTGTTCCTAGGCGACATTATAGGCCCTTAGCCTTCTTCTTGTTCTTTATACTAGTCTAATACTTATCTAACAACTTAGTTATATCCTTAAACGAGTCTTCGGCCTCCTACGAGTCCTATTTAGGTAAATAGCCTTGCTATCTTAGGAGGTACTCCTTCTTGCCTCGCCTAGTCCGATAATCTAGGATACGTTCTATAGACTATAGCTCTTTACTATCCGCTAGTATGTCTTCGTATTTAGTAAAGGCTTCATCCCCCTCGCGTAGGTAATATAGCTTAAGGAGGGATACATAGAAGGTGTTATAGATAGTATAATAAGGAGGAAGCTATAACTAATAGGCCTATGCGGAGGAGCCCTTAACTTCTCGAATGCGGAATAGACTAATATACCTTAGTACTAGTTTAGGGCGTGTTTTGCTATTAGGTAACGGGTGTTTGCGGATATAGAGGTTCTTCGTACTAAGTATAACTATATCGCCTTGTTTGAAGGTTATTAGCGTATAGTGTTTGTTATAGTAGGCCTTCTAATAGGCCTAGGCCTTTGCTAGTTTGTTAGCTATTATAGCGTGAATTTCTCGCATCTTTTGAACCCTCTTAATAGCCGCTAGCGTCTTAGGTATTAGTACTTAACGCGCTTCCCTTTCCTTACGCTCGGCCTTGAGCGAGGTAAATAGGTCTTATAGTAAGGCGGCGTTCTAGCCTATTATAGCTATATATAGTAAAACCTTAGTAGATAAGTGTACACTGTTGTTGTATACGAATTCTATAGGCTATAGGAGATTAACCTAGTTATTAGGGTTCTTATTAATGTAGCTGCGCAGGTACTGCTATAGCGTAGCATTCTGCCTTTCGGTTTAACTATCTGTTTATAGATAGAATGCTATAGACAGGCGATGCTTGAGTCTTAGCTGCAGGCAAATCTCACTCTAATAATAAGATATAAATGTCGAGCCTCGGTTAGAGACTATCCCTTTAGGGGTCCCCTAATAGGTATAGAAGATGTTAGTCTATAGCGCCTTTGCTATATTAATAGCAGTCTAATCCTTGCGCGCCGGGATATATCGAGCGCCCTTAGTAAACCGGTCTATAACGACTAGGATAGCGTTAAAGATGTCTTTGCTTCCTCTTCGCTTAGTAGGGGGAAGACCTATAATAAAATCTATTATAAGCTCTATAAATGGCTTATAAGGGATTAGCAATAAGGACAACTCGCTAAAAGGCTAATACTTTAGTGCCTTAACTCGTTAATATACAGTATACGTGTTTACGTAGTCCTTTATGTCCCGCTTACTATTTAGCTAGTAGTATATGCGCGATAGTAGCTCGTGCGACCTCTCTATGCTATAGTAACCGGCAAGCTTACTATTATAGTGTCGCTTAAGAAGTTCTTATCGGATCGAATATTTAGCGGGGACATAGTATCTGCCCTTGAACTTTAAATAACCTTTATTATCGATCGACTAATTGTTACTCTTACTAGATCGAGTCTTTCGCCTACTTATAAGCTTGTCTATACGTTTAGTAGCAAAGGCGTCCCTCTGCTAAGCCCGTAACGGCTTATCTATAAACGATTGACTATCCCTATTTACAAGGTTATTTAATAGTACCCTTACTATTAAACGAGGTACGTATTATATGCATCTAATAGTACTAGTAGCCGGATTAACTGCATTAGTGCTATCGCTATTACTATATATTGCGATATCGACTAGAGAGTTATTATAACTTCTCCTATCTATATCCTTAGCCCTTGCCTTAATACGCACTATTAATATAGTAAGAGTATTAACATACTTTAAGCCGTCGCGGAGTCCGGTAAGCCGCTTATCCTACGCGTACTTATTAATAATACGGGCTATAGCAATCTTATGCTATAGGGTTAGAAACAATGAATTAATAGATTGCTAAGTCCCGCTATCGTAATTAGGTCGCCTCGATAGGCTATTAGCAGGGTTGCTTACGCCTAGCCGATATAATATATTAAAATCAAACCTAGCGAGGTAGACGGCCTATCTAGCCTATCGACCTATAACTCTAGTAACCTTAGTAATGCTACGGAGGTTGTTATAGTCTATATAGACCTGTATCGTATATTAGGCCCTATCGAGGTAATGCCTCTAATGCTTAAAGGCCTCGACAATAGCTAAGAGCTCTTGCTCGTAGGTCTCGTAGCGACGCTTAGTATCGATTATCTTCCTCGAGAAGAAGGTAATCGGGTGCTAGTAATAGTTATTATCTGATTGCTAGGATATAATAGCCGATATAGCGAACTGTAAAGCGTTAGTCTCAATTCGGATCTACTTGTTTAGTACGAAATAGTGTAATAAGGGGACTTTAGTGAAGCGCTACTTTAGACCGTTAAAAGCGGCTTGTGCTCTGTTAGTCTATTTGAACTCTCTAGATAGATTAGCCTTAGTTTTAGTAAGTTCCGTTAGTAGCATTACGTGCCGCGAGTAACCTTCGATAAATCGACGGTAGAAGTTAGCAAAACCTAGGAATAATTGAAGCTCTTTAATACTAGTAGGTGTTAGCTATTTAGTAATAGTCTTAATTCGATTAGGATTAGCCTTAACACCCTTAGTTAACACGAGGAAGCTAAGGAAAGACACCTCCTTAGTAGCAAAGGTATATTTAGAAGGCTTGCAATATAGGCTATAGGCCCGTAGGCGGTCGAGGACCTTTCGTACTATAGCCTAGTATTCTACAATGTTAGGTAAGTGCGTATAAACTAGGATGTCATCTAGGTAAACTATATAGAGGTAATCTAATAGGCCTAATAGGGCCCGATTAATATAGGACTAGAATGTTATAGGGGCGTTTGCTAGCCTAAATAGTATAACTAGATACTCGAAATAGCTATAGCGGGTACGGAAGGCTGTTTTCTATTTATTACCCTTACGGATGCGGATGCGATAGTATGCATCCTTAATATCTAATATAGTATAGTAGTAAGCACTAGAAAGGCGATCGAGGGTCTTATTAATAAAAGGAAGTAGATAGCGATCTTTAATAGTAGCAGCATTAAGCCTACGATAATCGACATAGAGGCGCAGGCTACTATCCTTCTTTAGTACGAACAGGATAGGGGCACTAGCAGGGCTGTTACTGTACCGTATCCGGCTATTAGCTAGGTTTTCCTCTAGGTACTTACGCAATATAGTAAGCTCTCGTTTACTAAGGTTGTAAAGGGGTCTAAAAGGGACCTCTTTGCCCTCTATAATATTAATCTTATAATCCGTCTCTTTGAATATAGGCAATGTCGATGCTAAGTAGTGTTTAAACACATTAATATAGGTCTCTCGAATAGGTTCTAGTATACGCTTAAGCTGTTTAGGATCTATACCATTAGGGGGCACTAGTTTATCGTTATTACTACCGAGCAGGTCGGCAGTTAGATTAGCTAAGGCGGGAGTTAGGTTGCTAATAAACAGGACCCTAATATTATTAGGACACTCGCTAATGTCGATGTGTTTAATGTCCTCTTTCCTAGCGATTCCAAATCGCTATTATTAACTACCTAAGTCTATAACTATAGTATAGTACTTAAGAACAGGGTTGCTAATAACAATGTCGGATAGGAGGCTATCTATATCTACCGCGTAGGCAGTGAAGTTTAGTAGGCGTTCATTTCCGAGGTCGTCCTTTAGAGCTATATAGATATAGTAGGCTCCGTAGGTTAAGTGCCGAGCGTTATTAAACTAAGTAAGGGTTAGTAGGTCAGTCCTAGGCAGTTATCGAAGGTCTAATTGCTTAGCTAGGCGATAGCTAATAAGGGCACTAACTGAATTTCCTAGGTCTAGCGTAACCTTAGTTCTATAATTGTTGCTATACGAGTCCGATACGAGACAGGTACGTATAATAGCTAGCACAATGTCGATAGTCTTACGCCGTACAAGGCTAACAGTTAGTGCGGCGCTTACTCTTTTTTCGAAGGACCGACAGGGGTAGCATTAGCGGCTAAAAGGTGCTTACGGTACTTAGCGGCAGTACGGTCGATTCGGGCCTAATCCTTAGGTTTGTCGCATTAGCCTAGTAGATAGCTAGTACTATTACAGTTAAAGCACTTTAACCCGGTTAGTAGACTGCCGTAGCTGTTGTTATTATTAGCAGAGCGGTTAGCATTATAGGGATACGAGCCCCTTCTACGGCCCCTGTCGCGGCCTCCTCTATATAGCCGTCGGCTACGGCCTCTTCTACGGTCGTTACTGTTCCTATTGTTAGCATTGTTGTTATAGTAGGAACCTTGGTTTCCTCCGCGGCTACTACGATTGCCGCGGTTAGTACTAGCTAGTCGGATCCTCGATTCTAGTCGTTATTAGAGCTAAACAGCCCGTTCGGCTGTTTCTACTTCGACTATGAATTAAATGCGCGTTAGATTGGCCTATTCGAATACACGACGGCGGTCCAATTTAAGGATAAGCTCCTACCTAAGTTTTAGGCGTATCTTAGAGATCTATATAGAATTAGTCTTAGCCGGGAGATCGTCCTCGAGGGTCTTTAAATAGGCCTTAAATAAACGAGCCGATTAATTAGTCTTTTGTTTAGCTCGAAGGTACTAGTCCTAAGCATGTTGTTGCCTTAGTATAGGGTTTCTAAGGGTGTCTAGTATAATAGTCTTATAGGTCTGCTACTAAACAGCGGTCTAGTTAGTAAGGGAGTCGAAATAGTTATCCTAGGTGCGTTTTAGATCTCTATTAATATATTATATAGTATAGACGACTAGTAAGTAGTTATCTAGAAGGGCCCTTAGTGCGTTTCGCTAGTTAAGCTTACAATTACGTATGTAATCGTTGTATTGCTTTCGACTAGAGCCGTTAAATACGGTACAGTCCTTAAGTTTAGCATCCTTCTTTTAAGTAGGGACGGGTAGAGGAGGACTTGTTATCGTTAGCTTAGCATTAGTTGTTAGGGCTTCCTATAGGCGGCGAATCTCGAGGAGATTATCCTTTAGCTGTTGTTCTTAATATAGGGCAGTAAGCCTGTTTTAAGTAGCTTCCTAAAGTCTCGCTACTAGCTAGGGGCTAAAGGCTAGTTAGCTATATCGACGATTGACAATGTTGTTAAGAATATCGTTAACAGGCAATTCTAGATTATTACCTAGGATTACAGGTTCTTCTTTAGTAGGTCCTATAGTAGGCTCTTCGGCAGGAGGCACTTTAGTAGGTACTTTAGTAGGCACTTTAGCGGGAACTGTGCTACTAGCGTTGTTATTGCTAGCGCTGCTAGCGGCAGCACGGTTGTTGTTTCGTAATAAACCGGCTATTATAAGGGGCGACACTAATAATATATTGTTAGCCCCTAAGATACGAATATAGCGGAATTAGTAGATATCGGCCTAGTATGCTTGACTTAGTATAATAGGCCGTATAGAAGGCCTTGCTTAATAATTAGTACGGTTGTTTCGATAGAATAGTACGTATAGGTCCCGTTCTTCGGGCGCAATATAGTTAGATTAGTCTTTATTCGTAGCTATACCGCTAAAAGCTTGAAATAAGGACTATCTAGCTACTACCCTTAGAGGGTAGATCGAATACTATATGAGAAGGGTATGTTAGCAGGTAGATAGGGTGGTAGTAGGTACGAGTAGTATTCGATAAGGAGCTAGAAGGGGAGGGAGGAAGGTAGGTAAGTTAGCCTACTACTAAGCGCCAAGCCCTGCCTAAGGCATCGAGACCCTAGCTTTACTCGAGCCCGGTTACATACTAATCACGTATAACCTCTTTAGTCCTAATAATTAGCGGTTATTATAGAAATTTAAAGTTAGGAAGAAAGCCGGAAAGTTAATGCCTTAGGCATCTATAGTAAAACTATAGCAACTTATATCTCTAGCAATCTCGTATTTAAGCAGTGCACGCTACTATTTTATATACTAAACGATTCCCTTATATATATGTCCGTCTATACGGACCGAGATAGCCTTATAAAGAATAGGTAAGTCGTATTAGTCGTCCTTAATTAAAGCTAGTTAACGGTTAAGGTTATTAAGCTATAGCTAGGGATTGCCCTTCTTAGCTAGGGTAACTCGTTTCGGATTAACTATATACGGCGCCCTTATAATACCTTTACTTATATACTTCGCGCCTATATTAGTAAAATGCTTCTTATTAGGCCCTTACTATAGTATATAGATTACAGCTGCTATCTTGTTTTTGTAAGGGTTAGTAGCTAAGCAGTAAGAATGTGCACAAAACTTTAAACTAAACTAAAGGGAGTACTAAATCAATATAGCTACTATCTATATAAGACGAACTATAAAGAAAGGAAGAAGGGTGCCTTAGAGGGAGAGCCCCTTCCTTAGTATTCCGCCCTACGGCCGTCTAGCGCGTCCGACGCGTAAGCGTAAGTACGTATGTCCTACTTGTCCGCTATCTCGCAGCGCCTTTGTCTCCTAGCTAACTAGCGTAGCGCGCGTATACGAACTCGTTTAACCGCTCTTAAGTAAATATGTTTCTCCTAGCTCTTCCCTGCCTTCCGGTTCCTTCCTACTACTCGGATCTGTCCTACGACTCTATATATCTCGCTTGCTATCGTCCGTATATATATACGCGTAGTTTAGTATAGTCCCGTCGTTCGTATATTAATATATAACGTATTGTTCTACTATATACGGCCTCCGCGGGAGTCCCTAAGATGTTACGTTATACGGCTAAATAGGCGGCTAACTAGGCGACCCGGGCGTCTTAGGCGACCTAGGCGTCTTAGGCGACCTAGGCAACCTAGGCTAACTAGGCGACCTGCTTCGCTAGGGGCCCCTACTACTAAGGCAACTTAAATCCGACATTACTTTATAGTATAGCGGCTAGCTTGTAGGACTTGTCGGTGCTTTCTAGGCAGCTACTATAACAGTAGCCCCCCCCTCGTTCTACGTAGAGTTCCTACGACGCTAAAGGAGGTCCGTATATAATAGGTGCTAGTATTCTTGTCCTAGTTCGGGTCGGAGACCTTAATCTAAATTCTATTCGTACGCTTCTCGGAGAAAATATTCCGGGACAGCTCCTTCTATTATCGTATAGTCGGTATAGTCTCGTAGGAATTCCTCGATTACTTTGCGGGCGAAGATAATATAGCGTAGAGGTTCCTAGGTCGTATCCTCGTCTAAGTACCCCTCCTATTGTACCTCTCCCTACGGCCTAGGAGGGTTGAGATTTCCGAAGTTTGTATTACTAAAGCTCTATCCGATAATCGCCCGCACTATGCCTAAGGCAGATTCCGGCTCGTCTTCGGCCTAATCGGTAGCCTCGGTAGCTTCCGGTATCGGCGGGATGTCTTCGGGGTCCGCGATTTCTCCGGCGGTTCTTAGGTTAACAACGTATTTAACCGGGTAAATATTAAGATTTTCTAGGAGATCTAGTTCGTATACGTGTATACCGATTTTCTTTACAATTCGGAAGGGTCCTAGATTTTTCTAGTCGAGCTTTTTCGAAGGTCGGTTAGTTCTAATATATCGTAAGTTAAGGTAGACGTAATCTCCGACCTAGTAATCTAGCGCGGCGCGTCTACGCTAATTAGCGTAGTGCTCGTATACTTCTTAGGTATACCTTATCTCGTCCTAGAGCTCTTAGTAGGTCTAGGCTATTTAAAAAGCGAAGGTATCGGCGTCTCTTTCCGGATCGTTTGCCGGGGGCTCTAGTTCGATCTCTATTAGTTCTATACCGGTTCGAGGGTGAAATCTAGTAGAGGCGTAGAACGGCGTAGTCTAAGTTGTAGCCGACTCCTAATTGTTAATAGTAAATTTAATAGAAGGCGTTAATCTTAGCTAGTCGTTTTAGTAGTAATTATAGAAGTACCTAATAATTTACTCGATCTACGTATTAGCCTATTCGGTTTGCCCGTCGGTCTGCGGGTAGTAAGCCGTTAAAAGGCGCGCTTAAATTTTCAATCGTTCGTAGAGGCGCTTCTAGAAACGGGCAACGAAATTCGGGCCGCGATTAGATACAATTAATTTAGGTAGGCCTATATCTTTCTATACGTCCTAGTAGAAGACCTAAGCCGTATTCTTTGCGGTTAGGCTGCGGGTATTTAATACCTTCTTGCGTTTCGTAAGGCGGCAAACTACGACTAGTATATTTTAAAACTAGAGGCCGTCAAAGTCGGATCCTTTCGGTAGGCCTATAATAAAATCTATTGAAATGTATTACTATAGTCGTAGAGGGACTTTAAGAGGTTTTAGTAGCCCTTACGGCTTACGCGTGTCTGCTTTCGCTCTACGGTATACTACGCAGTTCTTAACGAATCGGTCGACATCTCGGTATAGATTAGGCTAGTAGTACTACTTCCGGAGCTAAGACAATATCTTAGCTCGACCGGGATATGCTATTCCGAGAGGGTTGTAAGCGGAACGTATAATCTAGTCGCGTAAATCTTCGAAATCCGGGACGTAGAGGGTATTTCTAAATATTGTATAAGGTACTCGCGGTAGAGTTCTACGGAGCTCGTACTTCGAGAGAGAAACATTCTCGTATAACTGCTCCTCGTTCTATAAAGCTTGAATTAGACCTTTAGTAAAAGCGTCTTCGGCGTATGCTATCGTAAGCTGCTATTCAAGCTAGGTAGGTTCGAGGAGGTCCTATACTTCCTCTTCGCTTTCCTAGTCGCTATCTAAGCTTTCTAAACTTATATCTTCGTCGTCTAAGCTATTATTATCTCCGAGAAAGGCGGGAGCAGCTATTAGTATAAAGGATGCTACGAGAGGCTCTAGGCCGGTAAAGTCGTCTCCGAGGAGCTCGTATAGTTCCTAGCTAAGGTTATACTCCTTAAGGATAGACTGTTCTTTACGCTGCGGACCTCGATCTAAAGGCAAGTCTCTATTACGCCTCGTAAGTACGTCGGCCTATAAGTTTGCTTTACCGGGCGTATACTAAATAACGAAGTTAAACCGGGAAAGAAACTTACTCTAGCGTACCTACCTACGGCTAAGGATTTTGCTTTTAAGAAAGTAGATAAGGTTCTTATAATCCGAGCTAACCTAAATCGGTAACTTAGAACCTTTAAGTTCCGGACGCTATTCTTCGAAAGCCTTAACGATTACGAGGAGCTCCTTATCGTAGATATCGTAATTGCATTCCGCGGAGGACATTTTCTTAGAGAGGTAGGCTACGGGTAGCTATGTATCTTCCGGGGTCGTTCGTTAAAGGAGAACGGCGCTAGTTATACCGTCGGAAGCATCGGTTTCTAAGCGCGTTTCTTTATCGAAGTCGAAGTACTATAGGATCGGTATAGTCGTAAAACTTTGCCGTAACTAGTCGAAGGCTTCTTAATAGGCCGGTAACTATTTAAATTTAATGTCTTTCCGCGTAAGTGCTGTAAGTAGATAGGCGATTCCGCTAAAATTCCGTATAAATCTCCGGTAGAAGTTAGCAAAACCGAGGAAGCCCTAGACTTCTTTTACGTTTCGTAGCACTCCCTAGTTTAGAACGGCTTCGATCTTGCCGGGATCTATTCGAATACCTTCTAAAGAGATAATAAGGCCGAGGAATTTCACCTCTTACTTATAGAATTCGCACTTATCGATGTCGATATATAGTCTAGCTTCTACGAGTTTCTTAAGTATCTTTTCGATATATTCGTAGTATTCCGCTTTCGTTTTACTATAAATTAGGATATCGTCTATATACGCCGAGACGAAGGCGTCTAGGAATTCTTTAAGCGTATCGTTAATATATAATTAGAACGTACTAGGTCCGTTGTAGAGCCCGAACGGCAAGACTAGGTATTTAAAAAGGCTGTAACGGGTTCGGAAGGCTATTAACTATTCGTCTCCCTCGGTAATACGGATTGCGTTAAAGGCGGCGATTACGTCGAGCTTAGTAAACTAGCGAGCCTTCGAAAGGCGTTCGAGCGTTTCGTTTATAAGAGGGATTAGGTAGCGGTTCTTTTTCGTTAACGCGTTAAGGCCCCGGTAGTCTACGTAGAAACGGAGACCTCCGCCGGGTTTCCGGGCAAATATAACTAGTACGGCTACTTCGGAGGAACTAGGGCAGATAAAGCCCTTTTGTAGGTTGTTTTCTAGGTATTTCTTTAGTACGAGGAGCTTATCTCGAGATATCGAGTAGAGAGAGCCGTACGGCGGCGGCTTA